GGGGGGGGTAGGGGTCGGTGCTGAAGGAATAACTGGAAACTATGGGCAATCGTGATCCCATCGCATTTTCCGGAAAATCATCTCCCCCATACCCATTTACCTTATCATTGTACCTGTTGCATTTTATCTGCACTTTCCTTTTGCATTTTATCTGCACTTTCCTTTTGCATTTTATCGGAATAATCCCAACCAGTGCTGCAACCTTGAAATGTCCCTGGAACTTTGACTAAAATAACTGCCATGGAACTGGAAGCAGTAAAACACAAATAAAGGCATTAAAATCTATTGCGCTGGAAGCTTGCATGATTTTTTTCACTGCCATTAAAGAAGTCTGTTATGACATCCCACGACTAAACCGGCTACTAGCTTTTTGTTTCACATAGCAGCTAGATTTGCTTTTTCGCCCCCTAAAAAAACAGGCCTGTGACTGAACACTGACAATCTGTCCTGGTGGGGAAAAAAAAGTGTCAGTGGGCAGAGAAAATCTGACAGTAATGCAAAGCAATTTCCATCATAAGTTATGTAACTGAGCCTGGATTGACAGAAATGCCTGAAAAGTCGCCTGCTGACATTCAGCGAGCAGTAAGCAGGGTGCCGGCATTGCACGTGAATGGCAGGTGGGCAGCTGCTGGTCTTCAGAATGTCATCCGGGAGCTATAAGAACTGTCCACTGACTAGTTAAGCAGACTAGCGAGAAGCTAGGTGGCCTCAGAAGACAAAAGCAGGAAGATGGCATTAGGGGGGAAGTGATTGTGAAGAGCAGCTGGAGGCAAGACAGCTCTTCTATTCCAGTGAAAAAATAAGGAGAGGAAGAGCAGTCTTCCTATTTTTACTGCCATAGAGGAGTTAATAATACACAAATGCAAAACATCAGTGGCTGCGAGACGGAGCAAAGCACAGAGATCCGCATTCGAGTGCTGCCTTTTATGAGCGAGAGAATCCTCCCTGTCTTTCTAAATATTTTACTAACTAAGGCTTGCATCGATACCCCCACCCCCATCCCAGGTTCTCAGAGCTTGCTTGTTTTCTGTGGCTTGTCCTTGACCGCTCTTCAAAGAAGCTGGGAAACATCTGGTTGGTGACAGCTTAAGCAGAGAGTCTCCTTCCTGGTCTATCTCCGGACACCCACAGTGACCAGTCATTACTATAACCGCCTTGTTTGTGACTCAAACGCACCGCGGAAGCTTTGGCAAAATGAGTCTTTCCAACCTGTGATTTTCAGCAGTGCCTGTAGGTCAAAATCAGCCTACAAATGAACAACAGTACCAAATAAACATCAAAACCAAAGCAATGGGTGACACTGTGGTGCAAGGAGTTTGCTAATTCTCTCTAAACCCATGTGGGTTTCCGCTAAATAAGTAGGCAGTCTGTAAATTGGCCTTTGTACTTGCATCCCATTCATGATATGATGATTCAAAGCTCACCGTCACCCTACCGGACAAACGGTATGGAACATGGATGGACGATGAATCAAGAATCACTTACAGAACTCTTATCCCTGTATTGGGAAAGTTGGAGCTCCATCAGTTCTGAAGTGGTGATTCCTGATCTTCGCAGAGGGAAAGTAAACCTCATTGAAAAAGCATAACACTCTCTTTTTTCTGAGCAAAAATGTTTGAATGAAAGATGTCGTCATGGTTCCCACTGGCACAAGTCAGTTGCATTGTCAGGGGTCTGTGGGAAATCTATTCATACACGTTTCACTAAAGCTGTCCAAAAATAGCATTATAATAAATCATGTTAAAAAAGACTTTCTTTGCCAATAGTTCTAATTATTACTTCAAGGTTATATCACTAATGCTTGATACGTATGATCCCATTCATCAGAATCACATACTGCATTGTGCCCTCTGGCTCTGTCTTGTCGTACATGTCAACTATGAAATTCTCATTTGTTTACTTGTCCATTCATTCTAGTTGAATAAATGGCACAATTGTTTTCTTCCACATCAAATTTTTTTTTATATTTTATACAGTATATATATGTATATATGAATCACCTCCATTTTTTCCTGATTAAATGAATAAATAAACACATTTTAATGAATATAATGTGAGTACATTTTCAGATGTGATAAAAATGTAACAAATTTTCAGAAGACTATTTACGTGTACTTTACGTGCACTCGTTACGTGTACTTTACGTGCACTCGTCATGTGTACTGTACGTATGGTACATGTTCTGTATACTTGACAATGCCTTTGCCGCCGCCAAAAGCACACTGGCGCAAATACTAAACTTTCACGTTTACAATTCATCTAAAGCAGAATCCCTCTGTTCATGCCCTTCTGTTTGCCAGATTTCATTCTCCTGTATTGTTTCAAAAGAGAATGATGTAAAGCATCCGCTCAGAATTGCCCTGTTTTTTTTTGAGCGCAGAAAATCCCTTTATTTCCAGCCCGTGATGCCAGACATCTGTGAAATGAGGGGATCCCTTGGCTGATAGCAAAACAGCTCCACACTGCCCCTTAGCTGTTATAGCGAGAAGCCAAAACCTGCAGTTCCAATCACACAGCTGTTCCCTCGTTAACAACCACCTTAAGTAAGCAAACACGGATCTAAAGTCTGTAAAATAACTCCTGAGTGCACGTCTCATCCTGCAGTTCATTATTAAGACCCTGAGGGGCAAAGGGAAGCAGAAAAACATAAGATGGCAAATAACGGGGCAGCAGGAAAAAAAACACAAAAGAACTACACACCAACTCATAAATGTCGATTGGTAGCTTAACTGAGATGAATTATGTACGCAGTCTTTACATTGTTAGTGTTTTTATAATTTCCTTTGCTGTTTATAACGCTCGGTAAATACAATGAAGAACTCTGCTGTAAATTTTTGAGATTCATTCATTTATACATGTATTGTATGTGTAATTGCGAAGTAGCCTACATTCGGTGTGGGAGCGCTTAAGATGATTCAAGCGGAATTAAACCTCACACAGTGCATGCAGTTAAGACTGCCTTGGCACTGTCAAGAAAAGCGTCTCCCTGACGCAAGAAATGGCAAGTTATGCACTGTTACAAACGGAAACGCTATTACAACGAGCAAAAAATAATGCTCCGCATTAAACCGGTTATTTTTTGACCAGTGAATTCAATTTAAAAGTGTTTATTTTAATAACCAAGTTATAATGTAACAACTAGACAGATCAGATTTTCTGTCGCCTTAAAATCTGCACTAGTTCAGGAATTCATACTATTTTTGAACGATAGTCATCAGATTGTCAGTTAAATGATGTAGAACAAATATGAGAGAGGAGCAAATATTTGGGCTAACCGTAGTCATAGCTTTTGTATTATTACTATTGTGTGTACTATTAACACCGAGGTTAATAGTAGCCAGAAGAAGATACCTGTACGTGGTGCTATTTTAAAACTTCCGTATCTTCTGTGGGGGCGGCAGAACATTTCAACAGATGTTGGGGATACACTTAAAACACAAATATAGCTAATGAAGTATTCCACTAAAGTCCACATGAAGGCATCTCTGAGCATACACGAGTCCCGACTGTTACACGGTTCTTCAGAGATAATCAAAATGGACAGAATGATGATTGAAAAATGAGCTTCACAATTATTCTCGTTGTACAATAGGCTACATTCCGATAACAAAAAGGATTTTTTTCCAATCTAGTAAGTGAACACGTTGCACGAGATTCATGCTATTTTCGTCCAATAGCCTACAATACATGGTTTAATATGTTTTTCATATTAATATTTGCTTGCTTTTAAATGCTTGCTAATTGCATATATCCACTAAATGACAGGTCAGTGCTAGTCTGTTACATTTAAATCAGCAGAGGCTGTTGCATCCGCAAAACGTACAACAAAAAAAAGATTTATTCCGTTTCTTAAGTAAGCGTACTCTTTCTAAGTGATGCTCCTCGTGTGACACACTATACGACCATCAACCAAGTCAATGCAGGACACGTATATTTAATATCAACCTCTCGCATATATCTTACCTCTTAAATATGAAATATTATAAATGACACTTACCCATGATTCCCACAACATAAAGTTTTAACACAAGGTAAGTATTTGTATCCATTATAATTTCAGCGTTCATAGATTAATCAGACACATTCAGTGAAATTTCAGCTTGGTGATAAAAGTACGTGAGAGCGCATTATTCATTCCAGCAGACCAGAAATAATAGTGAAGTGTTGATTTTTGCGGTCTCTTGTCCGCCGGATTTGCTTCCTGCGCTGATTTCAGTCATTCATAATAACTGAACAAACGCAACCCAAAATTTCAGGTGTCAGCCCTACGGACTCGAGATGTTAATTTCTGATTCTAGCGAAAAACGCCAGGATTTTCGCATCCTTCCTCTTTGTGAAAATATGCCGAGCCGCCAGAAGCGTCTGTCCCCTTATTAGCCGAAGAGACTTATCTGCTCTCTTTCTTTCTTCCCTCTCTCACACAGAGAGGGAGGAAACGAGAGGGGAAGGCTGGGGGCGGGGGGATTAGATTAGGAAGACACCGACCGCTATTTTTTCCACCATTACTGACTTCCCAATGAAACTAATAGCAAGCTGTCCTAGAACTGTCTCCGCGTATTGAAGCAGGACATAGAACCCCGAAGCAAACAGCACAATGACAGTTCTAGCCAAGCATAAGCCAATCGCAGGAGACTTTTCAGTTAATTAAGCTTGTACAACTGCACGGCAAACTACATGTACCTACATGACATTAGAGTACATCCACTGATAAAAAAGAAGGCCAGTTTATGCATTCAGAAACAATTAAAACGCATAATGGTGATCCATGCACACCAGTTTGTACCAGCTGGAACCAGATAATGAAGTTCAATGGGATAAGCTGAAATCTCCAACAGCAGCTGGAAACACGTTTGAGAAATTATTTCTTTTGTGGACGAGGGGTGATATAAAACACTAAGGGGACTATATGTTTATTAAGCATGCTATACACAATGAATGGAAAGTATAATTTTTAAAAACTCTTTGTTATGAATATATCATGTGGCTGATTTTATGCGCCATTTATTCCGCATGCATGGAGGAACCAAATCAAACGGATCTTCTTTGAGTGAATTTTATCACTTTCTACAGAGAATAAAAAATGCATGGGCCTCTTAATACCATTATAACTGGGGGAGTATATGGAATAATGTGCCCATTGAATTGGTCTGCTGAAGCCCTAATCAGTAATTAGCAGACTTGGATCAATCCTGTTATTTTCTGAAAACTTCAAACTTTCTTAACAATCCCAATAATGGGCTTCCGGGGGATGGGGGGGTTGGCAGGACAGTGTTCTTGAGAGTAGCCTGGAATTGTCCATATATAGGCTTCAAAGGAGCTGGATTTGATTCCTGCATTGATTTCAGTCATTCATAATAGCTGACCAAATGCAACTCAGCCTTACAGACTCGAGATGTTCATTTCTGATTCTAGAGAAATGCCAGGATTTTTGCATCCTTCCTTTTTGTGAATAAAGGGGGGGGGGGGCACTGTTCTTGGGAGTAGCCTGGAATTGTCCATACTGTAGGTTTAAAAGGAGCCTATCATGGGTCTAATTCTCCAGTTAGCCCATCCTTCTCCATCAGCTTCTCAATGTGAGATACAGGCTGTCAATAGTAGGGATTGGTTTTAACTCAAGTTAACTTTAAGTTATTCTAACCTACTAATTTTGTCACTTAATAGTCTGTGAATTGGTTCTGTCCCTAATATGGATCTGTGGAATTGCCATTTTAAATCAATGGAAGAACTGTTTGGTGAGGATCTGAATCTGAATGACAGTCTCACCTACTACGAAATCAGAAAGTATAGCAAGAGCTTCTGAAATAAATGTGAAAAGCACAGTATTTCAAATTGGTCGGGGAACTAAAACACATCAGAAGAATATAAGATGCAAAACAATATTCTTCTAAGGAGCACTACTGAAATGCATCCTGAAGACAAAGCAGGTCCCATTGGAGGGCAACAGAATATTTTACATAAACTTTTGCAGAGCTCATTTTCCTTGTTCTGCATAACACCAAAGAAGCGCAATATGAATCAGTGATGGTCTGTTAGTAGGCTTAATCAGCAATATGAATCAGTGATGGTCTGTTAGTAGGCTTAACCAGCAATATGAATCAGTGATGGTCTGTTAGTGACGACCCTGAGCAATTGTTCATATTACAGGCAGGACGAGATGAGGACATTTATCAGCAGATGGTTGCTTGCTTTTTTTAATTTGTAGATATAGGAAATGGTATTACAGTATAATGGCAATAAAGCTTTCTTATCATTACAGTATGACATTTACTAACTGAGATCGCACAAACAACCACGGCGAGAAATTGCCTGAATGGTTTTCTTTCTCACTTTCACGGTAACCATGGTGTCTTCCATCCCTTATCGCTTCACTGTGTCTTTCTTCACACCAATCAAACAACAGTTTTAAGGGTCCAATAGAATCGCCAATTCTATTATTGTGTCCTAAGCGAACAAAATCCATTTGAATATAGAGGGTCATAAACATGTGAATGGCGAAAACACAGAGTATAGTTTTAAGATTTTCAAATAAGAAATCGCGCGTATCATGTCTTACATTTATTATCCTTTTCTGAAAACCTGGGATGCATATACAGGAATTTCAAAAACGTATAATCAAATGAATTTGTATTTATTTATTAGTTTGTTTGCTTAGGCGTATTGTACAAAGGGCAAATCTGGGATCAGCGTTTTAGTTGTTAATATATATTTTTAAATAACCAAAGTATCGTAATGTTATGTCATGACATGAAGGCTATTAAAAAGACGCTTCGAATTAAATAGCATTACTCTCATTATTAAGAAAATGGTTTTAACGGAAAAAAAAAACGTAAAATGCACGAAGTTTCGCTGTGACGCGAAGCACGCCCCCTTCTCACCTGCGTTTTGGTGCCGCCGTAGGCCCTGCACAGCCTTGTGTCTGCGTCTTTCACAGGCAGGGAGACGTTTTTAAAATGATTTCCCTGCACATTTACACGGCTCCGCTTTGTTTTTTTGTTTTATTTGTTTCACATATACTGAGCAACAACTCGATCGGTGAGTAGGGAAGATTTTGAAATACTTTTTTCCCCCTTCGGTTATAAAGGCTGCGACATCGTTGAAATGATTTACGTTTGGGCTGCAAAAACTTATTTATATGGTCCCGATATAAAGTTTGTGCTTCAGAGTTTCAGAAAAATTAGAAATATGCAGCATACTTGATGAACTTGATTAATCTTGATGAAGTCTTGAATTTATCAGTGATCAAAAACTTTATACACTCCTTCTGTCTAATATCAAAATTAATGTTTTAATTTTGAGTATTAATGAAGAATCTGGAGGCTGCTATGCATAGGGCCTACTCTGTTTTAGTTACCTGGGCCGAAGTGTAGATAGTCTTTTAATAGAACATTTGAAAGTCAGAGAAAGCAATTTAATAAATCAAACGAAATGCTTACTCTTTCCTTACACAGGATTACAGTGGTACTTAGGCTGTTACAACTGGAGCGCTCCTGGTTTGTCAGTCTATCTCTATCCAATGCCTTCTGGAGAGCAAGTGGACCCTGTCTTTTGTTCACACATCTGTCTCGATGAAGGGTAAATGCGTCCATGGTGTGCTTTCGTTGAAATACCATACACATTTATGTTGGTAGTTTTTGGGATTGCACTTAGCCCTAATTGGACATAATAATAGCATAAATTACTCTTTTGGAGGACAATAGACTTTTATTAGAATAACTGTATTAAGCAGCATAAATAATGAATTAAATACAAGAGGATATAGTCAATGCTTTAATTTATTCGGTATGAAGTAGGGCAGCACGATATCCCATCGCAATCACGTGGCACATGCGCATATAATTGTATCGCAATGTAATATCGTGCAGCCCTAGATATAGCAAAAGATACGGGTTCAAATGGTTTTTAAAACTGATTGTAAAAGCCATGTAACCTGACACATGTCATGCTTTCAAATACAAATCTGTGGAGCCTTGACAAGGACAGGGAATTGTTTCTTCAAGAAGCTGCATCTCTGCAAGAATGGGTTTGCACGCTGAAACGTAAGCCCTTCAATGCACTTAGACTAAACAACGGTGATACGTGAATTTCACATAGTGCCAGGATGATGTTTTGTGCCTCGGAACTGGACTTGGCAGGGAGAAGGAGTTTATTTGAGAACACGCTCCTTTGCAGGGTTAGACAAAGGGACGATGGTTGGCTGTGGAAAAGGAGCAGCTATGTTTATCGACACAGAGGGAAGGTATCCTGAATGAGGGCACATCAATTAATATGTAGGCTGCTGAGAAAAGCTATGGAATATGGGGCAGCAATCAATAAAATTAGCCCCATTACCTGACTGACTGGAAACCAAAGCCCACTACTGGAATACATACTGGTGCTGAACTAAATATTAAGCAGAAGCTGGACAATTCCACGCAAAGGCCTGATATCACATACATAATGCGGATAAAAATTTGTGTATTTCTAAGTACGAATTAATATGTCAGTTTTTAGGATTTGTCTTTATTCAGCGCTAGAGGTTAGAGGAAAACTCTTTGACTCTTTGATGCTAAACTTGTCTAAGCTGTCAGGCATTTTGCCAATATGAGTCTAAATGTCACATCCATAATGCTGGAACTGCTCAGCTATGCACTAACTGGATATTTAACATATATGCTGACGACTAATGGGACAGATTAATATTGTGTTTTTCCCAGTATGTACATACAATGGTGGTGTGTACCACCACACAAACCACATGTGTGTACGGGCCTTGAGGTTTGGGGGGACCCCTGTTGCCCACAAATAGTCACTACACCAGTGGTTGGGGGGTTTCAGGTCCTTGAAGTGACTTTCTCAGTGTGACCCCAGAAACAGGAAAACTTTGAAGATGCAGTGATAAACAGAAAATTTTAAACAGGTTTTGTTATAGCAGGAATGCCGGTTCTTCATAGCAATGTTGTTAATGCAGATTTTGGAGCTGGACGTAACTAAGAGAGTAGAATTACTTTGAATTTTTAACCCTGGAGAAGTACTGTAGCAAGGAGGCTTTATATCATGTTGGGTTGTAGCATCTCTTTATATGCAGTTAATGCTTTTCTCTTGGGAATCCTCAGAAATATTGAAGGCTCATATGAGAGAAGATGCTTATGTGTATAATCCCTGGTGTGTCGTCGTTAAGGTATCAGTTAGCAGCGCTGTCCAGGGAGACATGCTACTGCAGTGACCTACCCTGGGACCGGACTGTGAACGGGCAGCATGACCACTCTGGGAAGGCCAGTGGGGAGGGTGAGCGTGCCCGGGGGCAGCTGCGCATGGCCTGGTGAGTCAGTCGGGTGAGTTAAGCGGTACCTGCACCGTGTGCCGTTTGCCTATCTGAACGCCAAGACCGTGCTCTTCGTCCTCCCTACAGTCTGCACTGTGGCCCCACCAGTCCAGCATCCCCCACTAACGAGGCTCGTATCTCACCCGTGCCGCCGTGTCCCTACAGGTGAGCTCCTCTGTTTTTTGGGAAGTTTGTTGGCTACTAGTCGGACCATTAGGAGGCTTTCAGTACTGCTTCAGCTCCATTGTTTATAGCAGTGTTTCCCAGCCCGGTCCCCAGGAACCTCCAGACGGTCCATATTTCTTATAGGCAGAGATTAACATAGCTGGCATGCAGGTACGCATTCACCTTTAAACGTGATACGTGTGACACTCAATTAATGTAACAGTGCAAATACGTATGTATTTTATGTGCATTTGCACCGACATGACAAGAAATTACCGTGCATTTCAACCTCTATACCGCAAATGAAGTACGAATTTGCATATAAAGGTTAAAATGCACGATAATTTTTTGTCATATCAGTGCAAATGCACATAAAATACGTACGCATTCAAGCTGTTGCTGCACGTATCTCTTTTAAAGGTGAATGCGTAATTGTGTACCAGTTATGTCAATCCCTGTTTAGTGAAGTCTTCCAACATGTAATCTTTGCCTTCCTTTTAAAATGTGTGAGGCTGTGTGTCTACTCTGCAGTGTTAGTTCTGAGTTTTTAATTTAGTCTTTTTTTTTTTTTCTTTTTCATCTGAAATCCAGTTTTGTTTGTTAGTTCTCAGAGTGGTTTTATTAGTTTTTATTTTAAATATATCTGTAGTTTATATATGTATATTAGTCCCATAGTTCAGTTCTTAGTAATTTTATTTCTAGGGAGAGACTGAAAGTTGTAATGCCATCTTATGAGAGATTTTTACAGAATTCTGCATGAATACGCAGTGCACATTACAGACGCTCCTCTACTTACAAACGAGTTACGTTCCGAACGGCCGTTCGTAACTTGAAATGTTCGTAAGTCGTTATTCGACATCATTTTAAGCGTATATGCAAGTACAAAGAACTAGGATGCTGGGAGTACGCACGCTAAAGTCATACTAGGCGTAATTAGCGCGAAGAAAAAAAAATATCGATGTTGCAGACAGGAAACGGGAGCCCAACAAACACAATTTGGACTTACAGTCCTCTTCGTTCGTATGTCTGAAAGTTCGTAAGTAGAGGAGTGTCTGTAGTACATAATATCCTTAAAATGGGCAAAACATATTCCAGGTCTTATTAATGGTGATTCAGGATTGAAAGAATATCACTTTAGCTAAGTAGTATTAAAAACAGTATTGCAAAGTATTTGGCATTGGTTTTAATTTTATTTCAGTTAATTCTGGAAGCAATATTTATAGTTTTCATATAGTTATTTTTGTGTCTTATTTTATTTCAGAAGTATTTTCTTATTTTAGTTTTTGTTAACGATAACCCTGATACTCAGAGTGTTAGGGCTTATGTTTTGTTTCCAGAAGGTTGTGGGTTCAAATGCTGTGGCTCACAGATTAGCCACATCACTGTTGCGCCCTTGACCAAGGTCCTTAACCCCATCTGTGACCTGGGGTCATCTGGGGTGCTGGCTGTGACCTCGCTCACTGCCCCCCAAGCTTTGTACGCCGTGTACTTGTACATCAGTTTGGACAAAACATCTGCTATATATATGTAAATGTATTCTCTAAAGCACCACGGCACAAATTTTTGTCAGCTGTCCAATTTTTCATCACATTAAACAGATTAATTTTTGCTGTGTTAAGCAAGGAATAAACAGTGTAAAATGCTTCTCTCTTCCAATGCAAGCTGCTCTCGAGCCCGGTGTCTGCCCCTTGGGGTGGATTTGGCCAGACTAGCGGTGTACAGGACACAGGGCCCGTACATCTACAATATCAGCTTGTCCATTGTGGAGGAGAGAGTGCAATCTGGGAAGCCATTCCTGATGCAGATCTCTGGCCATTTAGCTGCTCCCTTGCGGCAACCCACAGGTGAAGATAACCAGACGTTCTTCAAAGATCTCACCATACTCAGTGCTTTTAAAAATTAAACTGTGTGCAACTGTGTCCTTGCTTCCATGGTGCCCTTAGGATTAGAGACCATCAAGGGTGAGAACTTCAGTTCAGTTGACATTGTGGTCAGCTGGACCCCTGGTGAACAGAGCTTGTATATTACCTCAGTCCAGGACAGTGGATTCTTCAGACTGGCTCCTGAGTGGACATTTAATGAGGCTGGAACGTATCATATAGGTATGTTGTCATAAACACTGGTACGGGTGTAAAACAAAGGTGGATTGCTTCCAGAGATGCAAATATTGAATGACAATGAAAACATATGGAGAACTTGGATGTTTTCAACCCCTACATGGAGTAATGCTTAATCTCAATGGCATTTTGTCCTCCAGAGGTCATGGCCCATAATGAAGTCTCCATGGACATCGCCAGCCTACTCGTTACTGCCCTCCCACCCAGACTAGAAGCACTGGAGGTGGAGTTGTTGCAGGAGCCCAAAGCCATCCCTTCCTGTGTCCCCTTTCCAGTCCAGGAGACCCATGTCTTGAAGAGAGTCTTCCTGGGAGAGACCTCCACATTCAGAGCCTTTGTAGCCATGGGGGATTGTCTGGACTTCCAGTGGCACTTCAGTGATGACGGACTTTCCCTGCCAGCGGGGCCTGATTGCGTCCCTCAGTCCGACTGCCGGAGCAGCACCGTGGTAAGAAAGTACAGCAGACATACTGCGAATTCTCGGTATCTGAAATCGACACTCTGCCGACCGATTTGTTTGTCACGTCCCACAGAGGCATACGTTTGGAAATGAAGGGATTCACACAGTTTCTGTGAATGTCTCCAACATCTATAGCTGGGCTCTGAAAATAGCTCGCATTGTGAGTATGCATATTAAAAACTGACAGTTAAATATGCAGTTCATATTACTGTGTTATAGCATTCCACCCACCATGCGTCAGTTGTCGTTTCATATAAAACCCATTAAAGCAATAGAAAATAATTCTAGTCATTAAGGATGCAGATACCTTCAAGCCCTTGGATTCTATAATCTGTGCAACACTATTTGATTTGCACTAATTAACATCCACCTTGTTCACATTGATGTGTCACTCTGCATAGGTTGTTGTCCGCCGTTTTCTGTCCAACCTGGTGCTGGGGAACCTGAGCAGGTACTCGCTGGCTGTCACTCAGAACGTGTCCCTGGAGCTGCAGCTTCTTACCACCATGCATCAGGACCTCTCACTCAATGTGACATTTGAGCCTGGTGTCACCCACAGTCACCCGTTGGACGTGGGCTCCTCCACCGTGAACGTCTCCAGCCAGCTACAGCTGCTCCACACCTATGACCCATCTAGCTGTCAGCTCTATGTCCATCTGCAGTATGGCTACAGGACAGTGGGGCTCTTTCCTGTATCTGTTTCTGTCCTCTCCCCCTTTGCTGGGCAGCATGCAACTCTACCTCGCCCAGTAGAGGTGTATGAACCCATCAGAAACCTGGGACCAGCTCCATGTTGGCCCTTTGTAATTGCTTCCAGGGTCAGCACCACTTTTAGGGTCACCAGCCAAGTTGACCGCACTGGATCTGCTGTGCAATGGACCGTGTCCAGGGGTAACACTACTCTTCTAAATCAGACCACTGTGGACTGGTTCCTCATCTTCTCCCTACTGGATGCTGGTCGATACATTTTGAGCATCAAGGCCTTCAACCCAGTAAGCACCAGCTCTTTCCAGATACCGTTGCTGGTCCAAGATGCAATATCTGAGCTGATCCTTCTCCCCCTCAGCCCACAGTATGTGGAGACTGGCACTACTATTTTGGCAAAAGCCTCCGTTTCAGCTGGAACAAACGTTACTTACCTCTGGAAGTTTGGCGCAAACTCAAGCCTCTCAAAAGGCTCTGAGATAGTCACCCATGTCTTCCACCAAGTGGGTGTGCACACAGTGACGGTGACAGCAGAGAACCACGTGAGCCAAGTTCACAGTGAGCATGTGGTATTTGTTGTTCAAGATCCAGTTGGAAACATTGCTCTGTATGCACCTAGAACCACTACAGTGCAGCAGAGAACTGCAATATCATTCACTGTCATGGCAGGAACCAACACGACTGTTACTGTATGTGCCAACAATACCCTTGTGTACAAGAGTAACAGATGTGTGGTCGGAGCAGAGGTGGTAGTGGCTTTGTATCTTGAACAGACAGGACCTGCTCGGATTACAGTCGAAGCCAGCAATCTTGTTTCCTCCAAAAACACAACGGTTTTTGTGCTGGTAATGCCAAGACTACATACAGTCACAATAGAATGGACACAGACTCCAGTGGTTGGAAAGTCTGTCATTCTGTTTGCTAAGGTTAATGGTAAGTTACATACAAATCTGCAGCATTGCATTGTAATAAGTAACTTCCAGAGGTGGATAGTTCAGGTGCAGAAAGTAAAAATCCAGACCAAGATTTTGTTTCAACCAAGCGGTTGAGCACTCCGTGACTGTGATTAGTTGGTTGAAACAAAATCTTGGTCCGGATTTTTACTTTCTGCACCTGAACTATCCACTTCTGGAAATTTCTTAAATGGGATCCTAGTTCTAAAGATTCTTAATCCGAAATGTTTAGGAATGACATTTTACTCTTCCTTTTTTGGCATAAGTTGATTTATTACACAACTACATTTCACACTTAGAAAAGGTGAAAAATATAGTAATCTTTGCAAAAGTTATGAAAGATTTTTCTCTGTAATAAAATCCAGTTATAACATGCTGCTAACAATAGTAATATATGGGATAATTTGCAATCACAGGACTCAACAATGTAATTGTGCCAAGCCTCTGGCAGACAGTAATGTGTGAATTACAGAGGTCTCTCCTTTCAAGACATGCATACAATCCTGAAGGCGGGGGTGGAGCAGGGGTGTCACAGCAGAGGGGGCCAACTGGGGGTGTTGGTAGAATGTGCCGATCCAGGCTGGGGGGCAGGGTTCTCAGTGAAATGTTGGGAACTTTGAGTAATCTTCTCTTATCAAAAGGGGCATTTGGTAAAATTTGCCAGTTAGATGGGGGGGGAGGGGGGAAGCACAAGGTGGATGCCTCTCCACCCTCCACCTACTCTGCTACTGTCTGAAGGCCGTCCAAGGAAATGATTGATATATATTTTCAAAATCTGGGGAAACTGCAGCTTTCAACTGCCTACAGGTTGTAAACATTTAATCTGTCTGTATGCTGTGGTGGTCTTCAGTGCAGTCATGCTCAAAGGAATTTTCTACTCTGTTGCAGGCAATATCTCATCCTGTACAAATTACCGCTACACCTGGCTGTTTCCACAAGGCCACACGGTTCATACTGCCAGTCCAATTGTGTCACTGAGTTGTGACAAACCAGGTCCTCACTTGGTCAACGTGACTGTGACGGACCATGCTTCCTCTTTATCTGCTGGAGTGCTATTGTATATGACGCCGCACAGTGCTGCCCCCTTTCTGGCTCATCTTGAAATTGCAGTTGTAGGGACGCCAGTTCAATTTTCAATCAAGGTAGAAAAAGGTTGTTCATTGTGACCCATTAGTCTGCATCACTGTGTATCAGCGGTTAATGATGTTATCTCAGTTTTATTCTGTTACAATATTTTATTTTATTGTAAAAGTTTTATTTTTTTGTTGTGAATTTTTGCCTTATATATTGAAAATGCACATTGTGTATTTTTTCTGTTGCTATTCAGGTGTATTATAAAACAATATGTTGCCGTATCCAAAATTTTAATACTGGTTGACGAAAAAGTTGAATTTAAAATGGCCAATTTGTGATTTCTTTCCAGAATGTTCCTCCTGGTGGCAGGCTGTACGTGGACTTTGGAGATGGAGACAAAACTATCCTGGAAATTAGTTTTGAGTATGTAACTGTTGAGACATGCACCACATGGACAAAACTACCTTGGATACTGTAGATGACACTCCCAGTTTCAGATGGAAGAGTTACCCACTGGGAGATAAAGGCCTAACTTAACCTTCTACTTTCATATGTATATTTAGCGCTGTTGTTGATTAGTTGTCTCTTGTTCTTTGAAGATGGCATGCAGAGTTAATAAAGTCCTCTGTGACCGAGCCCCACTTCTTTCTACATATTTTATGGTTCCATTATTTTCCTGCTGAAGGTTGGTTTTGTGTGTGTATTATAGAAGTCTAGATTAGGCCCATTGAGGGAATGTCGTTTTTACGCAGCACTTCTGCTTCTGCTTTATCTTGCTGCTTTATGCCGTCTTCTGATGCGTCTCTGGATGTGTCGCCACTGCAGATCGTCTCTTTCTGACCTCCTGGGTGTGACCTTTATTTCAGGTTCAGCCATCGATACGAACAGGCTGGCATCTATCACATCCGAGCGACTGCAGACAGCCGTGAAATACTGTCTTCACTTATTGATGTTCAGGAGCCTGTGAAAGATCTTGATCTAGTGGGTCCAGACACCTTTACCTTGCCTACCAGGTTTGTGCAGCAGTTTATTAAGCTGAGCAGTGCTCTCCAAAAAGATATAGTCTGATTGTTCATCATCCTGTAGGAACAGTTCTCCTTTAGGTCATTTATTTATGTTCTCATACAGAGTGTTCCCTTACCTCATACCCTGTCATGAATGGGATGGGCTCTAGGCCCCCCCTTAGCCCTGTACTCAGTGGCGGTTCTAGACCATTTCAACTGGGGGGGCAGACTGGGGCCAGTTGTTCTGTAAGGGGGGCCAGATGCATTTCACTTTAATGTCCTCTGCGCATTACTTACACAAGATTGTCAGCATTAAGAAACAAAAGACAATTTTGAAAACCAATGTTATTTATGCAATGCTTTGCAGTCACATTTGACAGTTTTTACAGACTCACTCTGATTACTTGTTTAGATTGTCTTGCTTCCAGTGGCTTGATTATTGTTTTCTGTCGTTAACTTTGCTTTTGACCAATTGAAGCGACTCGACCACCCAACCCACATTCGTTAAGAAAATGTGCTTATGCTTGTGTTTCCCCTGTTCCCAGCACACAAAATCTTAGATCACATATTTAAATGCAAATGATAATAATAGTAATAATAATTAATTTATTTCAGACCCTAGAGGCATATGTATTTAGGGGGGCCACAGGGGGGGGGCATCCATGTTGTCACAGGGGCACTGGATCCCCTATAAATGCCCCTTCTGAACTTGATAAGCAGTTAGAAGATGGATGGATGTATTTACTAACCCTGCTGTTAAACTGCAGCCCATCGAACGACTCTCTAATTACCTGGATTGCAAAGGTGTCTCAGGGGTCAAGCTGCCTGTACAGGTGGAGAGCTACCGGGGGGAAGAAGAACGTCTCCCACTTTGGATCGGATCAGGTCTGTATTTTATTTTATTCAATATCAAGTGTAACAAGATGACGCAAATTTATTGTGAAATCAAAGTTTTGTTCACACCTCAAAGAAACATCCCAAATTTAAACTCAGTAACTTCTCAGTCCAAGAATGAGGAAGCCAAATCCTAAGCTAACTAATATATATATTCTTTTTAAATATCACGTTACTTCTTTTAACTGCACTGCAGACTGCATTCATTGTCATAAATAGGACAAAGAAATAATATTAAGGTCATTTTATGGATGATAGGTCATGGTGGGTCAATTATCAAACTGTAGGAGGGACATTATGACTTTGCAGTGGTCTAGCGTGCAAACCCACTCTCCTCTTCAATCTGTTCCAGTTCACTACAGTGCTGAGTGAGCCCGCCCAGCTCAGGGTTGAGGTGTCTGTGACCAATGAGATTAGTGGATTGACGGCAAACATCTCCACGCACGTCATGTACCCCATTATGAGTGTGTCCCTGAGTGTCACCCAAGCCGTCTTGGGCCAGCTCAGCCATGTGACGTTGAAGATGGCACCACAGCAGGACTGCGACCTCTCGCTGGACTTTGGAGATGGGACGAAGCTTCAGACCTCCTCGCGCCTGCACCCGCCCCGGACGGACTGCTCCCAGGGCCGGCCCTGTTCCTCTGTCTTCTTCTTCTCCCACGTGTATGAAAGTGTGGGTGTGTTTGGCCTTTCCGCCACTGTGTCCGGTGCTCTCGCCGTTGTCATGGAGACAGCGGGGGCAGCTGTGGGAGAACCCACGGGAGGCGTCCAGCTGGTCTTGACCTCGCTTGCTGTGATCCGTCTGTCTGACTTCATCAACGCCTCCGCCTCGGTGCAGATGGGTCAGGTAGTGCTGTTCCAGTGGCAAATCCTTCTTCCAGATCACAGCAGATACCTCCACGAAGATGGGTGAGATACTTCAACGTAATGGCAGTTATCCTTACCAACTTAGGTGACTTTAAAAAATAAAATAATGCAGAAGGCTCAGAAACATGTATTGCTGTTATTATTATTGTGGTAAACTGGCATCCCAGCCTCGTGCCTTACGGTGCCTGGGATAGACTCCAGGCCAGTGGCGAATCCTGGCAAGGGCAAGCTGGGCAGTTGCCCAATACAGCATCCTCTGTGGGGTGCCGCACAAATTCGTATTTATATTATGTGCATTTGCACTGCAATGACAAGAAATTACCCTGCATTTTAGCCCTTATACTGTGAAAGAAGTACAAATTAGCCACATAAAGGTTAAAATGCACGGTAATTTCTTATCATAACTGCGTGAATGCACATAAAATACATAAGAATTTGCTCTGCTATTACAAGAAATTGCCGCACGTATCCCTTTATACGTATATTTGATGCGTACTTGTGTACCAGTTATATAGCATTCCTCCTCCTTCTTCTTCTGTACTTTGCTTGTTTCGTGTCTGTGCCTGTCCTGCAGAGTCTCCCAGTTCCCCACTTGTCCAGAGACATTCACTTTGAGTAACTGAGAGACAGCAGTTCACCTAGTGTGACTCAGTGCCCGACAGCCTTGGTGTTTTTCTTTATCCTCTGACTTTTGTTCACAGAAACACAAGCCGCAGCTCTCTGATGTACCGGACCCGGATTCCTGGGACTCACAATGTTTCGGTGCTGATCTCCAATCGAACAAACGGCAGCTCAATGCTCAGGCGCCTGTCAGTCAAGGTGCGAGCTTCAATCGGCACAGTCCATTCCCGGCCCCCCCTCGGCACAGACCATGCCACGCTCCACCGCCAACCCGACGGCTCCTATGCCACGCAAGCCCTCCCTTTCAGCGCTTCTACATCTGCTGAGGAAGCCAACTTTACCTTTGGTTTTGGAGACGACTCTCCGCCGATGTGGGTTCAGGGACGGGCCAGAAGAGTCCAGCTGGGTTCTGTAGCCACTGGCTCCCACCGGTTTACCAGAGGTAAGAACTCTGCCTGGTCTAAAGATTCAAACAAGGGCTACACTTTAAGTCAATATTTCAGTACCTTCCACATGATCTATTTTTAGGTACATTTGTAGCCTTTCCTTAAGACAGACTGACCTCAAGAGATGTTTGTCCCTGAAGAATCTACAAATGTTGTATGCAGAGTAATTCAGACAGACATCTGTAGCATAGACATTCACAGTCAATCGCAACATCTTCTACTGTGAGGACCTGATCCCCCCTCAGCCTCCATCTGCAAAAAACTATCCCCCCCCATTCATCAAAAAATACCATTGTGACTCTGTAACCCCCCCCCCCCAGATTATTTTCCTCATACAGATAGCTCACACTGTTAAAAAGGTTGATAACCACCGGCATAGTACATTTACACATATTGACACATTATGTAAATTTGTGTTCTGTAAATAAAACCATCATAACACCAAGTTAGCAAACCAGCAAGGCTCATGCTGGATCACAACCGTGCAGTTTGTGCCAAATACATGATATTTCTTGTCTTTTCTAGAAGGCACCTTCTTTATTGCAATAACTGCCTCCAACGAGTTCTACAACGCCACCTGTGTGCTACCGTTCCATGTGGAGAAGATGCCGGCAAACCTGCAGCTTATTACAAACTCCACCGTGGTCTACAGGAATGAAACGGCTTTGTTTAATGCGCATCTAGCAGCTGGCACAAATGTGACGTACGTTTGGAATATGGGAGATCAGACTGCATATGTGCACAAAGGTAAGTTGTAGACAGTAAATGCTGTACTGAAGCTTGTTGGCTTGATGGTGTGATCCGATGGTGAGAATGGCTTTGTTTGTGTATCAAGGGCCGGTCGTCTCACACCAGTTTTCGGCAGTGGGTGTTTACGATGTCACTGTGTTTGCTCGGAACCGAGCGGGAAGTATGAACGCCAGCACCAGCGTCGCCGTGCTCCACCGGATGCGGCGTATGTACTGGGCGACACTGTGCCGCGTCTCTTCGTTTCACCGCTTATGCCAAAACTGTCCTGCATGCATTTCTTTACCCGCCTCCCCATTCTGCTCGTGTGTTAGCTGTCAGGATCTACACCGAGAAACCAGCATATTCCACTGAAGCAGAGATCACCTTTCTGGCCATAACCGAGGATACCGGCCCGCTGGAGTTTTTGTGGCATTTTGGGGACAGGCCAACTGTGAGAACGACCTACAGAACCGTCACCAAGAGATACCGCTTCCCAGAAAGGTGTGGCCTCAGTGCAGTGAAAAACTGCTCAGCACTGTTTTGGCTGGATATAATATATTTAGTTTTAATTCAAAATCTCTGTTGTTTTTGAATGAATCTTTTGCACTTTTTATAAGTTTACAAACTGGCCGAGGTGCTTCTCTAAAAGAAGTGGTCACATCATTGGAAAATAAATATTAGAGGTCCAAGCTGATGAATATAGTTGAAGTTTTAAAGCAGTACTTATCTGCCTACCGTGTTGTGTTTTAATGAATAGCAATGGTGTGACCTTTGACCCTCCAGGTACAATGTCACTGTCACTGCATCGAATGGACAGAACTCCGTCACCTCTGGTGCCTATCAGATAATAATCCAGAGAAAAATCCATCCCAACCGGCTGTTGTTCAGTGCCTCGGTTCTTCTGAACACTAGCTTGAACTTTGACTGCAGGATCAGTGGAGGAACAAACGTCAGCTATGACTGGACCTTCGGAGATGGTACTTACAAAGTCGGAAACAGCTCTGAGCAGCATGTTTTCCACAGGTAGGGTCTGCTATCTGCTCTTTTCTGTAACGTTACCTTTTAACAAAGACTTTCAGGGCACAATAACGGCAAATGGCTCAGCAGGTTAGACTTCTGTGCTTGTGATCAGAAGGTTTCTGACTGGCATCCCATGTTCGGCAGAGTTGCCATGTCCTTGTTGTGCCCTTCAGCATGATCTTTAACCCCTCAAAAAAATGCTCCAGGATGTTGGATGGACAACTGGTCCTGTGCTCAGACCCCAAACTTAGCTATCACCTCTATATGTGTGTGTATATGCCTTAAAAAAAGGAGAGGAAGATATGATATGTTAAAAAACACATTCAGGTGTACCTGCACTTGTAAAAATGACAAGTAAAGCTTTTTTTCTATTTCATTTAACTATAGAACGGGCGAATTCACAGTGGAAGTGAAGATGTCGAATCTGGTCAGTTCTGCTTCCTTGACGCAGCAGATATTTGTGGTCCGTCAACCCTGCCAGCCTCCTCCAGTAAAAAACATGGGTCCCCTCAACATTCAGGTATCACTTGCCTCTTTAGCACACGCAGAACACATAGTACCAAGGCATGAACCGAGCTGCTGGTGAGTTTTAAAGTGCTGTACCTGAGGTCGGGGGCAGTTAGCTCTGCGACCTTGGGCTTGTCGCATTTCTTTAAGTTCCTTCTTCAACCCCTTGTGTAGGTCCTGCGGCACCAGACCACTAAACTTGGAGTGACCTATGAGTCAGATATAGCTTGCGATATCTCACAGGGCCTCCTGTACAGCTGGACTTTGTACCAATCCGGCGGGCTGCCTTTGGACCTTCATCCAATCGAGACCCACCGGCAGGGCATTGAGCTGCCTGGCCATTTCCTGAATTATGGCATTTATAAAGCCATAAGCAAAGTAAGAATACACTGAGAAATGAACGTAGCTTGAGTTCAAGTCCAGCTGGCATAACTTTAAATATAGTCTGCCCAATTTTGTATTTTCCTTTGAACGTAAGGGATTAAAGTTTCTTTTAACTACTAGTGTGATTATCGTAATAGTGCAAATGTAATGGAATTCAGCAGTGATCCAGGCACTTTTTTCGCTGTCAGGGCACTAAGTTTTGTTTATCTTGTGCCATGCAGGTCCAAATTGTTGGCAGTGTCGTTTACAGCAACTACAGCGTCTACATTGAGGTGATACGCAGCCCTCCTGTCAGCGTAATCGAGGGAGGTACAAACATCTTCCTCAGTAAACATAACGGTACAATTCTGACCTTGAGCGGACGCAGGTCACATGACCTCGATTACCCTCTGAACACCCTCAGGTAAGGAAAATGTTTAAAGCCTATGAACATATTACACCATTGTAGGTTTTTGGTGGTCTGACATACACTCTCAGAAATGTGTACCTTTGCTTGTCACTGAGGCTATACCCATGTAAGTATACCTTTGGAGGTACAGAAATGGACTAAGGAACATCCCGAAGGTACAATCAGCATTAATACACCATCAATGGTACAGAAATGTTCTACAGAGTCAATGTATGTACCTTAAAAGGTACAATTACCTAAAGCTAAGGGTACAATTGGTAGAACCTTGAGGGTACAGCCCCAGTGACAAGCAAAGGTACAAAAAAAAAATGTACCCTCTTTTTTGAGAGTGTATGTAGACCTTGAGGGCAACGGCAGATGACAAACTTAAGTGTTGGGTTAAACTTGCTGAACTGGCAACGTTATGAAATTAAAGGTTTTGTGGATTCCAACTTCTTCTGCAGCTACCAGTGGGACTGTAAGCCAGCCACTACCATCGCGAGCCCCTGCTTTGAAGAATATGTTCCTCTGACTGGTCCTGTGGTCACGTTCCCAACTAATCTTCTGAAGTCTAGTTTCGACCAGTTCAAATTCACCCTCACGGTGTGGAGTGGAGAGCAGTCGTCCACTTCAGAGCTGTTTGTTACTGTCACGGCTGATCTAACACGGTGGGGGCCAGAATCCTTCTGCTTGTTTCACATCTGTGGTCTGAGTATTGATACCACATTTGTTTTTGGTTTTTTGGAGTTTTAGTGTTTCAAGTGCATTGATTTGAAAGATGAGACTTATTTCTTCCACAGGAGAGTACACGTGTATTGTGACCACTGCCAGGGTAGCTTAGTGAATTGGAATGAGCCGTTCTCCGTCAAAGCTGAGTGTGAAAACTGCGGCATGTCTCCCTGGGACATCTCCTACACCTGGAAACTTTACCTGGTTAATCCTTCCAGTAAAGCCGTTGTTGAAGGTAAGCATGTAGAACAGTCAACAGAAGGACAGCTGCAGTACTTATGGCGGTCATGTACCTTACTGAGATTTTATTTTTTCTTAGTTCCTTTCTGCAGTGTTGTGGATATCAGTGAGCTCTCCAGCTTGGTTAAAGGTGGGGCTGCATCCCACTTGATGTTACCTGAAGGTCCCGGTCTCACTATGGCCTCTCACACTCCGCTTCCTTCTCTTCTGCTTGCCTCACCTTCCACCCCATTGGTTTCAAACACTCCTGATGCCTCATATTTGGCAACAAATCTCCTGGAGTCTCAGATCCGCCCAATCAGCATGACCTCCTCAGACAGCATAGGAGACCCCACAGTCTCTGTTCCTCCCAGCACCGCTGTCCAGCCCCATTCTTCTTCCTTCCTCCTGCCCTTCGCTGAAGGGAATCAGATGGATGTTGGTCACAGCCAATGGCAGAGAGCCATGGAGGGAAGCTCTGATGGCCCATCTCATCCTGAATCCCCATCAGGTAACTGAGCAACTAGCAGCTCCTGTTCCTCAACAGGTAGATCTTTGTGCGAATTACACAAAGGTTGTGGGTTCAAGTCCCTGGAAGTATGCACAAATTGCAACCCTTCCCTCTTCTGTCAGTCACTTTGGATAAAAAATATATCAGATAGGTGTATGAATGTAAACAGAATTATTCTATAATAAAATAGTTGACTTTTAACTCATCACTAGATAGATCACATAATGATTGTGTGATTAATATACAGTACTACTATCTGTTACATTTTTTTCTTTTTTGAGTTGTTCTCCATTAAATGCATCAACATTTAGTTGAAAAAATTGTTTCTGATACTGTAATACTTTCATAAGCATTTTTACATGGAATTGCTGCCATCCTTCATTCATCATCCTGTAGATTTTGGATTCTTCCCTCCATCGCCTGGCAACTACAGCATTCCCGTACCTCCTGATTACGTCCCAGGGTTCCCTGTGTCTGAGGAAGGGAGTGTGGCTTACGATGACCCATTCATCAACACTGATTTTGGCTTCCCTCCGTTCTTTGAAAGTAGCTACCATAGACAGCCAGGTATCTGGGACTAGTTCCATTTTCAAGTGGCTTTAATTCTAATAGAAGGAAAAATAAGGCAGATTCTTTGTTTGAAAATCAAGTTGGCATCTTTTAAGGTTTGATATAGAGCAGTGTCCCAACCTGGTTCTCAGGGACCCACAGACGGTCCACATTTTTGCTCCCTGCCAGATAATCCACATTTTGTAAAAACAACGACTGTCTGCGGGCCCCCAAGGACTCCAGGTTTGATAACACGGAAGGTTGAAGCTGTTTATAGAGCCCCGCCTTTTTATTTTCCAAATAAACATGAGCAACGTGAGTCATCCTATACCACATGCTGTGATGACACTTAACTAATCAATATAAGGTAAAAGATCCATGAGTTTGTATGTGACTGTTTTTCCTCATTGTTGTCCTCATAAAGGACCCCCCCTTCCTGATGCTGATACTGACATTGGAGTTAGTGAAACATCGTCAGGAGACGGCAAAATTTCTGTCAGTCAGATGCCAAATTTCAACCACTCCTGTAATTACTCTTCCACATCTTAAATTGCGTAATTATTTGCCTTACAGCAGCTGTTGAATACAGTATGTGCTGTGTACTTGTATCTGAGAGAAACAAAAGGCCATCACCACTGTTGTACTAGTAGTGGAGTGGGTATGAGCTCATAACTAACAGGTTGCTGGTTCAAGTCCCTGTAGGAATGTTTGTGCAAAACAACTGAATGTCTTTGTTTTAATTTTTTGTCATTGTGTTTCCGCTACTTTATAGATTATGAAAGTTATTTCAGTAACGTTAAAGAGGGTGTCTGGGAAACCTCTGGGGACCGTCATATAGGTACGTCTGAAGGATTCTGTTTTATGCAAGGTCACCTGCTGCCTGTCCATGTTTAATTTCAAGTTATTTTTGTTCTTCAGTTTCAGTTTGAAGGATTCTGATATAATTGCCTCTGCCTGACAAACTGTTTCAGGAATTGGGTCAAGCGTTGCCAGCAAGGATAGGGACGTGATCCTGGAATCCAATGGCCAGGAAGGAGACAACTTGATGGACTCCAGAAGATCCCCTGTTGCACCTGAAATGACGCTCTTGGATCTGGACAGGCAGCAGATTGATTCAGTGGAGTTTGAATCATACACTTTCACAGGTGATACCTCATGAGCAGTTGAGATACGTCCATCACATGACCACATGGTCTTGTAGAAAACTCCCCTGACAGCTCTTAACAATGTTCAATGACAAAGATTCAACAATTTTCACACTGGTTGTATGTATATGTGTTTTGTAGCAATGTATTTCATCAAATTTTATGTTTTTTTTCTCATATTCAGGCATTTCTTCTCCTGTCATCACATTTAAACCTTTTATGTTAAAGGCAAAGAGTCTTTATATGCTGGAGGCATCTTCAAGTAAGTCCTATATGGTGGCATTATCATTTAAATATATAGCAGTGTCAGCTGTAGGAAGGGTTCCGCTAATCCACTAGCTGCTAATTAGTGAAGCTAACTTTTTTGTTAGCGGATTAGCATTTCTGCTAACTTTGACAACCATTAGTGGACCAATTAGCGTCTGCTAAATTTAGTTCCGCTAACTGTAAATCTGCTAACATTTTTATGCAGGTAAAATGAATAAAGTTTGCTACCCATACAATCATACATATTTGTTCCTGTCTGTTGTGAGTGTCTGTATCAGGAAGCTAAATTTTTGCTTAGCTGGATAACTTGTCGGATTTAATGTACCCAAGTTTCTTAAAAAGTAAGAAGTACTATGTATTGAAATCTAATTATCTAAAAAAAAGTGACATATCCTTTAAAACTGACTCAAGACTGATTTGAATATAGCATTGGCAGTAACAGTGCAGCACTATAACGAAAACTGAGTAAAGTACAAATCTGGAATAAACCTACTTACATATAGTTATGAAGTATTTGTTCTTCATTACTTTACATCTATGTTAAATAGCTTATTCACTGGTGAACATTTTTGATTTTTTACTCTCTCGATTAACTTTGTGCTCTCAAAGTTCAAGACGACCAACCACTATCATCGTTGCAAGTTCCTTTTGTGGTTTTTATGGCAGACATATGCAGATTCTTAGAGCATGAGAGTCATCCACTTCTCCGTCTTTTCCTCTAGACTCACGACACAGACTCCGGGGCAAGACACAATTCTTCTTCTCCACCAATGACGTCCCCCATGGAACGACATGCCAGGCGCAGCCCGGCCGAGGCTATGAAATCCACACAGAATTCAGCGTCTTCTGCACCTCAGGAAAAGCGGTGAGTGTTCAGGGGGCACAGCCTGTTCTTTTTTGTTCTTGTTTCTCATCCGTTCACTGTGCTTCTGGAGTAATTCAGGCGTGGCAAAATTGCTCGCTATAGCAAAGGCCGGAGCCTGCGGGTCATGCAGGATTGCTTAGTAATCTGCTAAATGGGCACTTACCCCACCTTCATTGTTTCATGACCTTGCTCTGTGGTTGGCTTGATGCCTGCCCCCTGCCCTTCAGGATCTCCTTTATAAGTACAGCTACAGCGCTGGCAGATCTCCAAAGAGGACTCTCTACCACGGAAGAAACTTCCAGCACTACTTCAACCTTCCATCCGGAGAGCCAGAAAACGACTATAAAGGTAACGAGGCGGGAAATGGTTTTCACATTCATTAGGCAATGAAAAGCCTTTTGATTGCTTATTAAAACGTAACGAGTCAAGAAACAGCTGTTAAATAAAATTTGGTTTTTAATGCTTTTTGAAAGCCAAAACCATAAAATTCACCACACGTGTGTCTCTCACAGTTACAATATATATTGAAGTATGGAATCAGTTTGGAGCTGCAGCCAGGCCATGCCCAGTAAGCGTTGAAGTTCTACCGAGCTTCCAGAAGAATCTATCGCCTTTCTACCATCCAGACCTGGAACTGTAAGACTCCGCCCAGCTTCTGTAGATTTCACTTGTCAGCCTGGTGGGGTTCTCACACATTTTTCTGCTGATCTTTTTCAGCTATTCAGATGGTTTGAGGAACCTCACCAAGTTGACTCGCATGGGCAACGGCATGTTGGTCCGAAACTATGTCATCTTACTGACTGATGTGCTGAATCGCATGAGTCAAGACTTGTCAGCCTCCAGAACACTGCAAACCACCATCCGTGGTGCCCTCATATCTGCTATCTGTGAGCTAAACATCCAAAACCAGGTACTGACCATACCATTCAAATCAAATCCTCAAAAACTTGTGGATCTTACAATGAAATTCCAGTTACTGGGTATGTTTTATCATTCATCCATCCATTTTCTGAAACTGCTTAATCCCAACTGGGGCCGTGGGGGGGGCAGAGCCTATCCTGGGAACAATGGGTGCAGGCGGGAACCAATCCTGGGCAGTCGCCAACACACCACAGGGTGATGTTTTATCATTTTCCACCAAAATATGAAGTTTTTTCTGCTCCTGCTATATCTAATGATTAGGACATTGTGATTCATAATTTCAACACTGTTGTATAATCCTTCCTGGAAGTTCTCAGGTACTAATTAAATCCTATATGAGGCACCAAATGAGTCTGTTATCTGTGACTGACTTTTTGACATTGACTCCTTGTGATGTGATAAAACCCATTCATCTCTTGTGTTAAAAAAAGTGTGCATAACATATTTTCTCCTGCTGCCTTTCAGGCAGAAATGATAGATAGCATCCACATACTGAAAGATCTTTTGAGTGTTGCCAGCCAAGTAAGTCCTTTATTTACATATGAATGAGTATTATCCAGGAAAAATAGAGCATTACTGTAATTTAATTCTGATAGTCTTACTACAGGCATATTGAGCAGTTGTCCATAGAGAAAGCATACACTAAATTATTTAAGTTTTTAAGTAGGTTATTGCTTTTTTTCTGTGTGCTTTCCTGACTTGAGGTGACTGTTGAAAGTGCCAGACTCGTGATGAGGTTCGTTCAGAACTTTTCGACGCAGTTCCGTGAGCCCGCCGTGCCGGTCACGTACCACCTGGAGGAGGTAGCAGTCCACTCGCTGGTGTCCCTGTTGTCTTGCGTTCTGAAGACCTCTGCTAACTTCTCAGAGGACGGCATCTATCTGACGCTGGATGGCATTCGCACAACCCGTGACCTGCTGCTGGTGAGAATAGCACACCTGCCCGCATGAGGCTCAGAATACCTAGAATCAGCAGTGCTTGCTGGATACTGTGGTTATAGCAGATACAAGCCAAAAGTCAAATATAGCAGTGTATGTGTGTGTGTGTGTGTGTGTATATATATATATATATGCTACAACATTTTTTTCTCTTAAACTCTCCCTACAAATGTTTCTTGTCAGTACCTTATTTTCTGTATGATGGCTTATATCTCATTGTTTTGAGTTTCATTTGTTACATACATAAATATACTCCTGTACAGTGAAATGTTCTAATTATTCCAGCTGTGTTGGTTGAGAATCAAACCCCAGTTAGCCGTTTGGAAGGTAGCAATGCTAACCGCTACACCGCTAACTATGTGCGAGGCCCATTATCAACTCATTTGCTTCCTTGTCTATTTGATTGTAGAAGTATGTCCTATTCAGCAAAGTGTCACTGCACACTTTAAGCACCAGATGGATGGAGCTGAGGACACAGTGGCATGGAAGGTTCCAGAACACGGTCATTAGCGTCAGACAGACCAAGCTGTACCTTCCCAACACGTTGGATGCAGATGTTAATAGGCGTATTGCACTTAGTTCTGACCAAAGCAGTCGTTGTGTCATCAGTCAACTGATGTTCTTCAACCCAAACCCATACTTTTGGGGTACAGCGTCCATCCAGGTGGGATGCCATATGGTTTTCTACAATGTTTTTAATTTATTTTGCTTCATGGTCCCCACAAGTGGCTCAGTCAAAATATATGGCTGGTGTATAGTATGACCCCAGAGTCAGCTCTCATAGTAAGAATTTTGGTCGAATGTGAGGACAGTCACCTGCTAGATACAAATGCTGATTTGTTACAGATAAATGGGGACGTGGTGGACCTGACTCTGTACAACTGCACCACAAGGAGAGAGGTCAAAGTGCGCTCCCTCTCGACACCAGTCACCATCGAGTTTCAGAAACCAGACCAAAGAGTACGTCATGTACACAGAACATTTCATGGATCTTTATTGATCCCCATGGAGAAAAAATCCTCTGTTCAGTATCACAGAAAGAATTGCAACAAAGTGTAATGTAACTAAAGAGACAATAAAGAGACACGTTTTCATTACTCATCAAAACAGTAATAAAAATAAAAGTAAAAAATTAATGAATAAAGAGGAAAACTGAGATACAATGTACCATAATGGTAAAATATCACATGACTTCTGCAGCTTTATTTCGTTATATTTTAGCAAATGCACCCTCACGTCAACAAAAGTGTTTTTTTTCCCCGGAGCTTTATTTCTGTAAAAAAGCAGGTTAAGGATCTATGTTTGCTAACAAAGGGTTGCTGATTTAAAGCCTGGTGACACCCAAGGGCTGCACCCATGAGAGAGCAAGAGAGGCACATAACCTAGATTCAGCAAGAATATCTAGCTAAAAAAAGGAGGTCAGGTGCTATAGCTTCGCACAGCAGTCTGCCGAATCACCAAAATACCGAAATAAATACTTTAAGAATTGGTTCACACAACAAGCTCCACTTCATTTAGAATTTAAGAAAGTCTACAATCATTTGTCATTCTTGTCATATGTTAGCCTCCGCAGTCATCAAACATGTCCTAACCCCCCCCCCCCCCCCCACTCCCACCCTCAACAGCAGACCGCTGATTTAGAATTTTCTTTGCAACGCACTCAAATGAACATCCACCAGTTTAACATTACAGCGGAGACCCTGCAGGAGGCGCTACAGATCACCGTGAAGCTGACCAGGCCAGCTAACCAGACCTTTCCCATCCTGCTCCTCCTCAGGTTGGATAAGGAGATTCCTAAAATGGCTCACAAGCCAAAATGCCTAAAATTCTTCTATTTCGAAAATCCTTTCTTTATATTTGCATATGTGAAAATTGTCAGTGAATGAAGCTGGGAATATTATGTTGTTCATGTTCTGTATAGAGTTTAGGGGTAAAGGGAGCAACATATAATGCTGTACTCATCAACCGCAAAACGATAGCAGAACCCTGGTCATGTGACCGATATGTGACAGACGGCGTTTCTCCTTGTTTGTGCAGGATGTTTGAGAAGCCAACTCCAACCTTATATAAGGTTAAGAAAATTTTCCGCTGGAAAGAAGACACGGTTCACATTTTCCTGCCACCCTCTAGTCTCAATGGTTTGTTCCTCTTTTATTTTACAGTATTATCCCTGTTTCTTTAGTGAAATCTTATTTTTGGAGGTTCAGCAGACACTTTATGTGGTGTGTATTAATATAACTGCAAGTATTTAATATATGAATCTACATTCATGTTTGTGCAGCCCCTGGCAGCGCTTATGTGGCCCTGCTCAATGCAAACTACAACCAGACTCCCAGGAATAAATATATAGCCAGTGCTGTGAACTACTCCCTGAGCATGGGGTCTATACAGTGCCTCTCCTGGGACGGAGTCAGGGCGTGGAAAAGGGACGGATGCACTCCTCTACAGGGAGATCCCAGCCGGTTCAACTGCAGGTACCTCTGGCGTTTGAACAAACTGGACAGTTGAGGTGAAGAACAAGAGGTTTCCAGTGTCAACAAAGGAGGTTGATTTAGGTGTACAGTATGTGTCTGAGCATCAGACATTAATCATGTCATGGAATAACCTGGCAGTGGACAAAAAGAAGTTTTCTAGAGCAGTATTTCCCAATCTTGTCCTTGGAGATGCACAGACAGTCCACATTTTTGCTCCCTCCCAGTCTGTCTGGCAGGGAGCTCGGAGGGAGCAAAAACATGGATTGACTGTGGGTCCCTGAGGACCGGATTGGGAGACACTGTCCTAGAGGAAGATTGGAGCAGTTTTAGTTTTTGCTCTCTGCATGAGATCAGAACTACTGGAAGGTGATTGTTCTGTGTCCTGTACCAGAGAATAAATAAAAGTAGATCATTTCTGGTTTTAAAAAAAGGTACCAAGAGATTTCTGACACAATTACAAACGCACTATTAAGTACCTTTACAACAAGAACAATTTGAAGGGGTCTTAAATTCACAAAGAATTTAAGATGCTTTTGTGTTTAACATACCAAGTGTGAAATTGTCCCCTTGCAGCTGCAGTCACCTGGCGCCGTTTGCGGCCACGTACCGCAAGATGCTGAGCCGTCAGGAATTTACCAACGTGGATCAGTTTGTAAGGTGGTTGAAGGTGTCTTTCAGGCTTGGAGCGCAGCATCGCTTCATAATGGCATCCCCAGTAACCATAGCGATCCGCCTCTGCCTTCTGCAGCCTACCCGATAACCTGACCCTCTGCAGTGTGATGGCTGTCTTGCTGACCGCCTACGTTCTGGCGGCGGTCATTTGTAAATGGGCTGATGTCCACGGTGAGGAGAACCAGGGCCCAGTCCAGCTGGAGGAGAACATTCCGTTAGACAAGCAGCTGTATGCTGTGACGGTCGATACCGGCTTCCGATCCAGGCCCGTTATGACAGCTAAGGTTGGTCATCTGAAACGTCAGCCGCAGTCATATACATTCAGCCTCATAAAATATCTTAAGCGGATAAACAAGCTCAGTTGAGCCAGTATTCACAAAACCTTGAGCGCTATTGGACAGTAGCAGTGGATTAACTAATCTGGGTTCAGAGGTGGAAAATTCAGACCTAGATTTTTGACCAACCACTTGAGTACTCTATGACAGTGGCTCTTTATAGTCAACTGTCCGAATTGTCTTTGAGAAGGTATGCAGCACTCATGCAAAAGCAGCAGAGAAAAACTTCAAACTGATTTTAAATATATAAGAATCTATAAAAGGAATAATTAAATTAAATTTTAATTAAAATTAAAAGTTTTTTTCTATGACAGAGTAAAAATATTTTAGCGAAACTTTAACCCCGCGCTATAATATCCGTACGGAATTGAAAGTAAGAAAAAGCGTTATTTTAATATAGCTGACTAGCGATGTAAGAATTGGATGTGCATAACATGCGATGTTGGTATTAATACTGCACATCACCAAGCCGTGTATACTACAGCCATTTTCCAAATTCAGTACAAAAAACCCTGCCTCATGCTTTAATGCATAATATAAGTTTATGTGAAAAACCAACACCTTGACGTACCAAAAGTTTGGTACCTGGTGCGGTGGAAAAACACCCTTAGTCACATGGCATGTGAACAGCAGGTCACTGTGTAATGATGGGACTGTTGGCCAGTATGAACATGGCATGATTTGGCTGCATGTATTAAACCATTCCACAGGTGTATGTCGTCCTTCATGGGGAGAATGGCATCTCCCAGACCAGGGAGCTCCACAGCCCTGGAAGGCTCCTGTTCTCCCGTAACTCCAGACACACATTCATATTGAGGTGCTCTATCATCTTGTCCAAACACTTCACTACTCTCACACTCTTTTTCAACTGTGGTTTACGCGACTTAGACTTTCTGTGACTGATGGATTTGCTCTAATAAAGCTGATTTCCCGTGTAACTTTGAGCTGTTGCTTGAACTAATGAAGATATATCTCCTCGTCAATCCTTGTGTTCCTCAGCACCCCTGAGAGCCTGGGCCCCATCTGGAAGGTGCACTTGTGGCATGACTGCGGGGGCCCCTCCCCCAGCTGGTATGTCAGCCATGTGGCCGTGAGGGACCTGCTGGGGGGCGATGCCTGGTTCTTTCCCGGAGAGTGCTGGTTGGCCGTGGATGAGGGCGATGGGCGGGTCGAGAGAGAGCTGAGCGCCCTGATTGGAGGACTGGGATTCAGAAAGGTGGGTGTTGACCATTTACATGTGAGCATGAGACAGGCCAGCAGTTAGAATGACAACAAGAACCTGGAAGCAGAAGGATCCCAGTTGCTGACTCAGGAGGACCCTGTAGTTTTCTCTATGAGATAAACTACTCCAGGAAAACATCCATCTACGTCAGTGGAAGGCCTGATCCTAGCCAATGTGTCACCCCAGGCAAGCATCACCACCAGCGCCCCCCCATCCAGGGAAAAATGAAATTGGTTGGAAAGTCGGCTCCCCCTCAGAATTTGGCACCCTAGGCAGTTCGCCTGTGTCGCCTATAGGGTTGACCAACCTCGATCGATCGATTTTATTTTGCTAATACACATGTACATTAGGGCACCACAAGGATTTTCACTTCGCAAGATCTTGCACTATCCAGTCAGCAAGTTGCATTACTGATGCCACAGGTTGACAACTTTTACCATTGGCGTCTCTCACCCCCCCAGATACACTCCAGTTGATATTATCTAATATACTATCAAACACGTAGCTCCCCAGATTATTTTCTTTGCAGAAGCAGCTTTCACTGTAAATAAGGTTAGAGACCTGCCTGATGGATGACAGTATCAACTCACCAGCAGCTGTGGAAACACAATGTAGTTAGAGGGTGTCCCCCGCAAATAAGGTACAGCTTCACAGAGAGCCTGAACGCCACCAGCCCCCGTCCCTAACCCAGTCCCACTGGCCTTTCAGCTCCTGCACTGCAAGCTGACGGAGTACCTGGAGGACTTCCACTGCTGGGCGTCGGTGTGCAGCCGCCCGCCACACAGCCCCTTCACCCGCACACAGCGCCTCGGCGTCTGCCTGCTGCTGGCGCTGGGCTACGCGTGCACCAACGCCGTCCTCGTGTCCCTGCACGGCGACCAGGTGGGTCAGACACGCGCCTTTCGTTTTCCCCCCTTTACATACACTGGAATGCTTCTTTTCACGTATCCCCTCACCTTCCTTTGAGACGTGTGCACACACACACAAACACACACACACAGATACAGTTGAAAGTGAAGCTTGGACTCGTGACATTTATCCCGCAGCCCTGGAACATTTTGGGGGGGGGTTAACGGTTATTGCTCAGGGCCCTAACGGAGATGTGACTATCCCGCTGAGCCATACAGCTCCCCCCCTGGGGGATCACCTGTCACTCATTTTTCCACTGTGTTGCTTTTCATTTTCTCTCTCACATTTTTTCACTTTGGTGCAATATCTGTAAGCTGTGCTGAAGCTGCTTTTTGTAATGAAGTCAAATAGACTTACCCAGCTGCTAAATGTAACATTGAATAAGGGCTTTGCATGGACCATTTCATGCATTTTAAGTTTTATTAAACTTAAAGACCTTTTGATTATGATTTTGGCATATGTTGGCAAAATACCATAGTAAATTGTATCATTTTATCCAGGAGAGATCTCTATGTTAACCTACTGTAATATTATAATACTCAAAGTAGTGAGTATTATAATACTCACAGTATTCTCATAAAGAGAATATACAGTCAGTGGCCAGTTTATCAGGAACACCTGCTCATTAATGCAAATAGCCTGCACCTCCCAACAGCTAATCATGTGTCTGCAGCTGAATGCATACAGAAGGCAGACAAGATCAAGAGGTTCAGTTACTATTCGACTACAAATTATTATGGCCGAGACACCTAATCTAAATGATTGTCAATGTGGTGTGATTGTTGGTAGTTCCAGCTTCTTAAACAGCCAACTTCCTTAGATTTCCGCCTGCTACAACATCTAGGGAATGGTGCCATATCCAAAAATCACGCAGTTGGGGGCAGTTCTCTGGCCAATAATATTCTGTTAATGACAGAGGTCCGCTAAAGCTAACAGGAAGGCTACAAGTGCAGAACTAATGGCTCATTATAAGAATGGTGTGCAGAATGGCTTCTGAACACAGTTTCTGCAGGCAAAAGGTGGCCCTACTCAGTACTACCCAGGTTTACTTGATAAAAGAGCTGCTTAATGCATGTATGCATATACTGTACTGTTTATAATGATATGATTCTGTACCACAGCACAGAGCTGAACTGGGACTCCTCCACACGTTTGCTGCATCCCTAGCGATGGGAGTTTTCAGTACGCTGATGGTGCTTCCCGTGGGAGTGCTACTGTCCCTGTTATTCCGTCTCAGTAAGGTTAGTGCATCATATTCATCTATTATATCCATGGCACTAAACACCCTTTTGTTTTGTTGCTGAGAAAACAAGTACTTCTTTTCGAGGAACTATTACTTTATTGATACTGTCTTCTAATGTATTCTCCATAATATAGACCCAAATATGGAAAATTTAGTTGTTTTCTTGTATGTTTTACACAGGAAACAAGCAGTAAGGACACTTCCGTGGTGAAGCACAAATGTAGACCGCTCAGTGTCTACTCTGTGGAAGGTAGTTATCGGTCAATGTATAGTAATACCTGCGTATACTGATTTTCAGCATTTCAGTATTGTCACTGGAGTTGGTTATTGTTTTGGTGACACCTGCTGTCTTCAGCGCATAGTGATGACCTCCTAGAAGATGCCAGAACTGATGACTCATATCGGTCCTTGCACCACCATCAGCAGTGTGCACCAGTCATGCAGAGAAATAAATATGCAGTAAGTTAGATATACTCCAGACTTCAGTGATGTGCAAATGAAGCTTCATGAGCCATTTGCTGTATTTTTTGACCCCACTCTGCTCTTTGTTCATAAAATGGCTCAAAGCATGCCCCATAGTTAACCAAGAGCACCATCTAGTGGGGTAAAAAAATACAGCAAATGGTTCATGAAGCTTTGTTTGGCTGTCACTACCAGACTTAACTTTAAGCGGTGTTTAAAAATAAATCCCTAAACCAAGCACTTGGCCTGTTTCTCCACAGCATGGAGTACAGGATTTCCAGTTGCCTGGCCTGGTGCCACTTCCTTGTGGTGAAAAGAGGTCTGAGTTTAGATTTGATCAGAGGAGCCAAAGTGATCACATCAAAATGCTAAGAGATGATGTCAAATGGAGAAGCTGTGAAGACCGACCCAAGAGTTCTACAGGTACCTATGAAGACTTCTTTTTATTCCATGGAGACCTACGTTGCACATATATCATTTTTCTGTTGATGGCCAAATGAAGCTGCTTGAACCATTGGCTGTATTTTCTGATACCACTAGATGGTGCTCTCTGTTCAAAAAAAGGGCTCAAAGCATGCCCCACAGTAAACCAAGAGCAGCATCTAGTGGGGTCCGAAAATACAGAAAATGGTTCATGAAGCTTCATTTGGCCATCACTAACTTTTTCCATAAGTACATGTTGCAGTGGTTCGCAAACAATGGTACACATACCTCTGGCGGTATGTGGGAGGCCCTTCAAGTGGTGCATGAAGGTATTAGTGTATTACAGTGTCGGTTATAATGGTGGTACATTGGAACATCGCTTTACCTGAAGCCCTCTCTCATGTTCCCACAGCTTATGTTCTGGGAGAGCCAGATTCTGGAGGCAGCAGCATCTCAGTGGCGCCCCCTTGCTATCGCTACCTCGCCTGGGCCCTGTGCTTGTCTCTGTGTTTAGTCTGCATGATTACCACTTTAGTCCTGGGAATAAAGTAAGGAAACATGCTTATTGGTGGTCTTTAATGCTGTTTGGCACTATCATGGTGTTTTAATCCGATGCAGCTCAGCCTTGCCTACCATTTCCTTATGTTTCTTGCCTGCTACTTTAATCCAACGTGTTTTCTGCAGTTTCAAATTTACATGCAATTTCTTGGCTGGTACCAGTGGTGCCACAAGAGATTTTGGGCCTTATTACAGCATGTAATATTGGACCCCCCAACCCAGACCGATCCAATTGTATTCCAAATTTTGTAGGGGTTGTTCTGACTTCCTCTTCTTTAAGGCTCCCCTGCTGGCAAAATATGACTTAAAATTTTTACCAATTTTCACATCTGAGATATTTTACTGAAGAAATTCAGATTAAAAATTTTGTTCAGAGGTTCTCTAGCAGGATGGTGTAGTGCCTTTAAATGCTGTGCTGCCTGCAACACTACTCGTTTATGCAATGACAGGTTGGCATTGTTATGACAGTCACTGTTATTCTGACCAATTCGCAGTCAGGAGACACTGTGTTGCCCCTCCCCCTCCAGGTTCAGCCCGGAGAACAGCTTCATGTGGGCCCACGCGCTCAGCTCCTCCATTCTGCTCTGTGCCTGTGTTCTCCAGCCACTCCTGGTATTTCTGCCATGGCCTCAAATCGAATTGCCTTAATTTGTCCAATTTGAATAAAGTACAACAAAACTACAGGGTTTTTTATGAATAATATGGATTGCACACATGACGCCAAATGCCTTTCTGTTTATTTTGTGGCTTGCGTTTATAGGATGCAAACTTCAAATTTGTCTTTCATATTTGTCATTACTCGTTCTGTTGTTACAGTGATCTTTATGATAATTGAACTCTGTTTGCCTTAGATACTCATCAGTGCTGCAGTGGTGGCCTTGAGGTATAGGGGGCGCTGTTTCCCCCACAGCTGCCCTGAAGAAGCCAAGGCAATGGCAGAGATTCTCAAAGGGTGGCAGAATGGAGGCTTCCCCTCAGACAGCTGCCTGTTTGGCCCCTGTTGTTACCATCAAGATGGAGCTACTCACTTTAGCAGGGTAATGATAACCAGCTTTTCCCCATAGTGTCACTGATCTTCCATACTTGGGTGGACTTTGAATTTGAGAAGATACTGTACCAGCAGGTAAGCGCATTGACTGGAGAAAAGTGTGAAAACTGTCCCAAAACACTTCGGATGCAGCTTTTCATCCCTCAATCCAGAAATGTCCCATTTAAACATTTTTTTTCATGAAAAGAAAATGAATATTTCTTCTATTTGCCAACCTATGTCATGTCTGTATTACTTTCAAAAATCACACTGAAAGTCAAATCAACAGTTTGACCAAAAATATTGGTCAATTTCACCCTTAGTTGTCCATAGAAACCTACAAAACCCACTAGATGAGGTAGCAAAATAAAGCTTGAAAAGAATTTTTCTTCAGGAGATTTACAACAAAATCCCACAATCAATGGTGGACCCCACCCCCCGGGTCAGGGGGTACCCCGACAGACATATCTCAGTTGCAATTTTTTTGTCTTTATTTGGTATCAGTCATTCAGACTTATTAAATCTAACATGGTCTAATGTTCAGTTATTGCTTGCCGGTACCTAATTTGAGTACGGATCCTACACAGTACTAAAACTAAATCAGTCAGCAGTCTGACACTTCAACCCCTACACCCACTATATACTTAAAATTAATTTGAGTTAAATTTTGAAATAAATACAAATTGAATTTAAGAAATGTATAACTATATCATTGATTGTGTTGTATAGTTTCTTTGACATACATCTGCCCAAAGTAGTATATTTTGCTTATTTGGCTTTTGATTTGAAAGTGAAAAATGGAACCATGTGTGTGCAGAGAAATACTTTTTGGCCATTGAAATGCTGAAGTCCTCTAATAGGGTATTATGTAAGTATCACTTACAGTTTGATGTAAGTAACAGATGTTGATTGAAAAATATTGCATTGTGACTCAAGTATTTTAAGTAATTAATAGCACATTATAGTTGTTAAAGACCTTGAGTGTGTGAGTGTGTGTGTGTGTGTGTGAGACGTCCTTCAAAGTCGGTGTGCAGTGGCTTCCCACTCAACGGTGGTCGCAGTAGGTCTCTGTGCTCTTCTGGAGCCCCTGGGAGTTTACAAATTAAGCACTGGTCCTACAGCATGAGCGCCAAGAAGGTTTCCACTAGAAAAGTGCTGACCTTTGTCCTGCCTGCAACCATTTGATTGGTTGTTGCCCTGATTGGGGCCCATGTGACCCCAGGTGCTGAGAGCCCGTCGGAGAGACCGGCATCTGCGCCTGGCTCGGCCGCCCTCTCCAGCAGAGCGGAGACGCGCGCGGGATCGGATCTGCAAGCAGACGCTCCTCCACAAGGCCTTCAGGTGTCGCCCTACACGTCACTCTGCTCTCACAATGCATGTCGTCCATTCTAAGCATCACTCCCTTCAGGGTGATTCCCGTGAGCAGAAACTGAACTCATTTTACCACAGGGAGGCTGTGTTGTACGTGGTCACCTTTTCCCTGGTCTTGTTCCTGACTTATGGGAAACCTTCCAGCCACCATTACCAGCTAAACCAAGCCATCAGAGCTGCATTCACCAAGTAGGTCAACACACCAGTGACTTTCTGTTTAAAATGTAAATGCAGTCAGGTTCAGTTTTATGCCTCAGTTTGCACGGGTGCTCAGGAGGTATGTGTGAAAAGGAGGGTCTGGGGAACCTGAGCACCTGCCTGTTTTGCCGAAGCTATTTAATGTGAACTGGATGCCCCCTTTTTAAATGTTGGGCACCACCCCCCCCACAAAGTCTCTGCACAGCCCTGGTACACAGCAAAGACCAACTGTGGTGTTTTCACTTCTGCGTAAAGAAAAACATTGTGTGTGTTGAAAATCCAGAAGTGCACAAAACCCCTTTCAAGAAATACGGATGCATGAAGACTGGTGGAATTGGAGTAAGACAGCCTTATTGGATGGGCTGTACTGGGACTCATGGTCCAATAACGTCTCAGCAAAAATACAGGTAAATACTGTCGTTATTGACAGGTGTGTTTACATAAATGGACGTGTCTTTTTTTTGCTTTGTATGTTAATTTCTGTTCTATGTATCTTGCTGCTGAATGCACTAGAATTTCCCCAAGGGTCACTAACGTAATGTAATTTATATGCAACAATATGCAAAAAGTCTTAGGCAGTCAAAGGAAATGTTTAAAGCTATTTATCTGGATCGTAAATATATATTTGCTCAAAAATACGTTTTTTCACGTATCTGTGTGGTTTATTCTCTCAGGATTCATGCTGTAATTTGTTTGCCAGGCTGGCGCAGTCTACGGGGCGTGCATTCTCATTGGACAGCCGGTCCTTGAAAAAAGAGAGGCCGCAGACCAGTCAGCTTGCAGGGTAAGATCATGAAAAACCTTGAAAAACCTCTTTTCTTTTTGCAGTCCCTTTCTACTTGCAAAGGCAGTAGAATATCCAGATTCCCTAGCAATATCATTTACTGCCAGCAGATGGCGGTGGTGATTCATGAGCTCACTGGAAAAGGTACATTTCAATGTTGCAGGTAGCAGGGTCAGACCTCCAAGCAATACTTGTAATTACAGTTACGCTTTCATGCCTCACCAAGTTTAAATGGCTATGATAAGCAGTAACACAGATAAGAAGGATACAACTGCACCAGACAGCTGTGGATTTCAACTTAATTATTATTTATTGCTGAGATTTCAAACTGTGGCTAAACATGGGTGTGTGTGCTGTTTCTGAAGCTTTTAAGTTTCTTTAGTTGATAAAATGTGCTCTCTGATTATCGTCCTTGAATTTCGTTGTCATTTTTAATTAAAAGTTATAATGGTTTTCATGAGTACTTCCCACCAATAGTTAAAGGTTGACATCCCTGAATTAGCCTGAATTACTACCTCCTTGTCTGGATTTTGAAACTCAAATCAGCAGCATCACAAGAAATCTTTCCTTTATTCAGTGTCTTTGATGTATTGAGTAAAGAGAACCCACATTTAATTCAGACTGCTCTAGTAACATTATTGAATTATTGGTCGGCGCTCATACTGGACTAAAAACCTTTCAGTTGTCCTAAGTGCTTTAATTAGAATTTAACCAGACATTAAAAGTCAATGGGACTTCTAAGGAAGTAGACAAAAAAATCATTACCATAAGCATTTATGATACTCCAGCCAGAAAAGCAGGTTGTTTTTTTGGTTAAAGTTTACTTGGGAGCTTATGCTGATGATGGTTAGAAGGTACGGGGAGCAGAAGAAGGGTGGTCTCTGATCTACTTCCCACAGACTTCCATCTCTGCACAGGGCCTGGTTCCTGAGGTCCGGTCAAAGTCTTTCTCTCAGCCTCTCCTCGCTCGGGGTGACCAGCGATGTGGGGGCGCCAACAAGGAAGCAGGAAGCCAAGTCACCCTGGGTCGTACGAGGTCAGCCCAACTCTACTGACCAGTAAACACTCCACTTACAGTAAACTCCACATGCACAATCAATTATGTCCGTATAACTGTTCATGGAATTGCAGTTCTCGGTAACAAATCACAAGTGTATTGCCACTCTGGAACAAACAGAAAAATCAGTTCAACGAAAATTCACTGTTTAATCACCGTTACAGGAACAAAGAGCCCTGTGAACAATTATAAATGGTGTTAAAGTAGACTACTTCTACTGTATATTGTGATGAAGGTCTAAACAACCTTCTGAATTCAGCTTCAACAAGTTTTGTGCGTTATGGTTGTTTATCTCCACCGGAAAGCTTAACTGAAATTTCCTGTGCCTTTCCATTCTATTCCTGTGGGGCTTGACCACATAAATGTGGTGTATTTCTGTGCACACCAGAGTTTTCATTTCTCAATCTTTGTATTATAACATCAGTGTCATCAGCTAAATCCGAAAACAAAAACAAACACAGCCAACAAGCAATTGTGTTCTGAAGGGCATGAAGAAATCATTTTAAAAGCATTGTTTGTTTCAACAACTAATAAGCCTGCTGTTACGTTGGGTAACTCTGGAGGAAATGGCACTTGTACGATTGTGGACCCCTGTAACAATTGGAAGATGGGGGATCTACATTAAATAAACTCAGGAGCTGCTTTAATTCAAATTTGACTTGGTACAGTCACACACTGTGCTGTGTAATGAAATACTTTTCCATCTGCTTGCTGGATTGTGCTTGAGGAAATAGGCAATACAAAGAAAAAACTAAATAGTATAAAAAGATAAGAATAAAATAATAGAAATGAGAAGGATAAAATGATTGCAAACTAGACAAAAATATAGAATCCTTGTCCAGAGGGGTCTGGGGGTAGAGGATTTCCCTCAGTCTCCCAGTTCTGACTTTCAGGTGGTTTTCAGTGTGGCCCTCTGTGGTTAAGCATGTGTGTCGGATGTATATGGTACAGATCTGCGGTGTCAAGCAGCCTGCGGTCACTGCGGGCCAGGGGCTGGCTGGGCCAGCGAACGCGGGAGGTGATCGTCCGCTTCGCCCTCTTCAGCCCCCCCACTGGCCTGTTTACTGGCGTGTCCCTGCGGGCCGAGCAGCCCGTCCCGGGGGTCCTGTTGCCGTCCGCGTCTGTTTACTCCGCGCAGGTGCACCGGACTGCTGGCGCCGTTGACTACGCTGTCATGGCGTGTGAGGTGAGCAAAGGACACACAATACGGCTTAGAAGGAAGTTATTCTGCTCCATGATCTTTTCACACTGAAGACATGAACATAAAAGACTTACAATAAATATACAGATCAATAAATGCTTAAGTAAAAAATAAAAGTAAGCTATGGAATTATTATTCAATCCCGTCTTTAACCTTTACTATACTGAAAAACAGGGAGTGCATATTCTATAGAGTTAGCAACGTATGTACCGTCTTGCGTAGATATCGGTGAAATAATTATTATTCTCACTGATAAACATTATTAAAACACATGATGCACTGGAGTGTGACGCTGTGGCAAACTGCATTGGCCCGATAAAACAGGGTTCCTCATCTGTGGTTCTAGAGGGCAGGAATCCAACACAGTTTGGAGATTTCTCTGCTCAAACACTCTTATTCAGATGTTTACCAGGTTCAGTAGGCGTGGCCCTCCAGAACCGGAATTCGGGAACCCTGCTACACGGGATCTCACACGTCTCATCGCTTTCTAACCCTTCTTACACAGCTCTTCTTCCTGCTTCTCACGTCACTTCAGCTGTATGTCCAAGCATGGGCCATGGTTCAGGCAGGGCTTGCGTCCTACTGGAAGGAGGCCTGCAATTGGCTGGAGGTGAGAGGGACCTCTGTAAAGGGATTATCCCAGCAGAATCCCATTTGACATTAATTTTGTTGTGCAATTTTTTGTCTTATATTGAATCCAGCTTTCAGATGCAGGTCTTTTATTAAACTGTTTATGTGGCTTAGAAATAAGGTAATTATGTAAGGTGTTGAACAAGGGTGTCATTAGGCCTATTTCAAGGGGGCTTTAGCCTTGGCTTAAGTCATAGTTTCCCCATCAGCCCCCCCAGAAAAGACTCAGCTCCCCTATCCATTCTATTTCCCTGGTGCCAAACAGTCCATGTTCATATGGAACCATCTTGTGTGATACATAACAAAATATTAAAAATTTTCTCCTTGAGATGTATAAAAGGAAAGTGTGTGTGTATGTATATATCGAGAAACTAGAGCCGTGGCTATTATTCAGGCATGATGGGAAAAGTAAACCATTAACCAGTATCGCGTCTTTCCCTAGGTCACCATCCTCATCGTCAGTCTCGTTTACTATGCAAACCTCACGTACAGCAGCCTTCTGGTCGCAGAGACTGCAGACCTCCTCCAGAGAGAGAACTACAAGGCTTTTGTGGATCTTACTCTTCTCTCCTCCTGTGAACAGGTAAGCATCTTGTATAGCAGAAGAACATGGTGCTATGTCTGCATGAGTTTCCTGCTGCCGTCCAGAAACGTGGTTGGATGACATGGCGTTGCTAAATTGCCAGTGCTGTATGATTGCGTGTGTTGAGCTGTGTCCTGTGGCGGACTGGCATCCCATGCGGAGTTCCTGCCTGCTTCCTGGGATGGGCTCCAGGTGCTCTACAGGCCTGCAGTAGATTAGAGGATGGATGGATGGGGAGTAGATTATATTCAAAACAGTCAAGGCACATGGAGTGAACCAAAAGCGGTTGTTGACGTCTTCTATGAAGCTGAACGCTGTCCGCTCCGTTTTCAGCTGACCAGAAGCCTCCAGGCTGTAATCGTCTTCCTGCTCCTGGGGAAGAGCATCTCTGTGCTGCCTGCCGGTGGAGCTGTGGCCCTGTTCGTGGCGACTCTCCGGCTGTCGCCTGGCACCCTCTTCTCCCCTCTGGTGATGAAATACCTCCTAGCTGCCAGGGGCGGCTAAGGCTTTGGGTGCCTTACTCTCCTGGGTCGCCCTCATGTGCTCCCGGTCCTGAGGTTTCCGTGGCGCTGACTCGTCCCTGCCCCTGCAGCTGGCCGGCGCCGTCCTCGTCGTGGCCTTCGGCTGCCTGGGGAACCTGCTCTCGGTGTCCACCTGGGGGTCCTTCACTGCTGTGACTGGCTTCTTTAACACCCCCCTCGCTCACCGCATGGGCATCAGTCTGCCAGATGATCTGCCCACGCTGGAACCCCCCCATGCTGCTTCCCTCCTGCTCTACCGCAGTAGTTTCTTCTGTGTCATGTTCATCGTCTGGATAACGCTGGTAACGAAAACCAGCACCGTGAATCTCCAAGCTTCCGTCGAGCTGACCTATGATCGTACCCATCTGCTCCACAACGAAACTTAATTATTTCTGCTTTCTGATATTATTCAACATATGCTTCATATTTCTGCGTTCTGATATTATTCAACACATGCTTCCATGCCTCATTTAGTAAAAGACAACTCAAGTACTTTCTACATGCTTAAAACTTTTTTATCGTTATTAAAGATGACTGGAGTGCTCAGATCCTTTGAAAAGGCTGCAAAGAAGGTCTCCTCAAGAAGAAAAGATGCGATACCCTTTCCTGCACTGGCAGCCTACATTTGGGACAGAGTTCTCGTGTTCGCTGGTAGACACAAGCAAAGGAGTAGAGATAACGGCGCCCAGCAGAGGGTAAGCACTGTTTTATTACACTGGCAACTAAACAGTAGTCAACATTTAGTCATTTGCTTCTGACCAACCGTTTAGAATAATATCCCCATGCTCGATTCACTCAAAGCTGACGTGAATTTTGGGTATCCTTCCTTAGAAGAACACAACAAGAATGAATTTTAGAATGAATGTTTTGAAAGTGATTTTGAATGTGTTACTTTTGTTGGTGCCACACGTGGTGCTTCCAGCATCTCAGTAACAGCCACCCTCTTGGGATTTTCACACACTACAGCACCTAGGGTTTACAGAGGATGCTGCGATAAACTAAGATGATTTTCAGGTCTGAGGGGCGTAAACACCTTAAGGCGAGAGATCACGGGGGAATGGCCAGACTCGTAAAACCTAACAGGAAGACTTTACGTGCAAAAATGTCATGGAGCAAGCAGAGTTTCCTGCACTTTGTTGGATGCTTGTCTCAAAGTATTCCAGCTGTATTTCCAGGTAGGAAATAGGGGGTCCTATGGCCTTCTAGGTGGCTATATCTAGCAAATTTTTGTTTGTGTTTAGAACTTTCACCTGGAGGAGTTTGAAGACCTGCTGGAGGAGCTGCTACTTCGGCTGGATGCCTTCACATGTGACCTACCACAGGTACAACTCAACAATGGACAGAGGTTGTGGGAAAATGAGAAACTTCCCATGCGACAGGCTTACTACCCCCACCACCTGGAAAGTGAGGTAGGGATTGTGGACTTTCTCTTTCCTAGTTTATACCTTTTGTGGCCTTCAAATATTTTCAAAACCTCTTCCTAATGATGAATGCGTTCTGTTGCTATTCTTATTTCATATACAGACACTCCTCACTTGACAACAAAGCGAATTGGTCGATAAGCGTGGAGCCGCCCCTTACCGATAGTTCAAGCTCACTGTACTGGTAGTGGGTTTGTGTCAGTCATCTTTATATGTTGTTTTAATGTTACCTTTGCACCATTTATAACATTTTTAGTATATTTATAAATGTTTATACGGTAGTGTACTGCATATTGCAATAAACAGAATTGTTTAATATTGTTGTGGAAATAAGCTGTAATATACATTACTTAGGTTTGCATACTGTACAGGTAATTGGAGATTGCGAATGCTAGTGTATTGAATACTGAGCGACTGTGGGAGTGAGACAGACTGAGAAAGGGTGATACGAGATGAGACGCTTGATGCGGAGATGCCGCGCTGCCTTTTCCACGGCCAAAGTTCTCGTACAGCGTACAATGTCGACTGGTCGGAGAGCTGGTCATAAGTCTGCACGGTCGTTTAACAGGTAGTTTGTTAAGTGAGGAGTGTCTGTATTACTACAAAGTAAAATTAAACATGAACATGTAATTTGTATTAACTTTAATAACGGTTTTAACGTAGCATGGACTTTCCAGTAAAGCCTGGGAGACTCCATCCAGATCATCCGTTAGCATACACAACTGGCTGCTGTCATCCAAAAACGTGCCTGATCCATACAACCACAGGTACAGTTTCAGCCGCATTGTGGGACACATTTCATCAATGTTTTTTGAAGATTAATGTACATTTACAGTAAATGTATGGAATATATATCTCATGAGCTTTTTAATATTAAACTGAAATTAAATGCATGCATTAAATATTTAAAATAACTGTTTCTGGCCTATGACCATAATGTATTAGACTAGGCGAATAAATGTATTACTTTCGACCATAATAATTTGTTTCATCTATTTAGATCAAAGCTCATTTGCGAAACATTGGAGCCAAGCCAGAGGACGAGCCTGACAGGAGACTTTGTTTCTGCTTATGGAGACTATACCTGTCCCCAGAATACCTCCCATGTTATTGGGGACAAGGTGATCCCAGAGCCAAGTTGCTCTTTCCAGCCACATAAGACTATCCCACCATTCATCTGGGAATCGGCAACTGTGTGTCACTCGGATGCCCACAAGGAATATCAGTGCAGCTCCTCATGGGAAAGCAGACAGGGACCAGGCTGGGGGGAGGGAGCCTGGTCCGCAGCAGGAAGACTAGATGTCCTGCCTGAATCTCCCCCCTGTGAGCTCGGCCATCACCAGCACTGATAGGGGTGCAGTACAAACATGGGGAGGAAGAAAAAACTCAAATCTGAGTGATTTTATTGACCTACAGAACAGTCCTGGCTTATCAGAAGCATTAAGACAGTGCTGGAGAACTTAATTTGATAACTGGTAGTCTGCTCTTCCTAGGGTTTGTTACAGTTTATTCCTATTTGGAAAAGCAGTAATTGCTATAGTGAGCACATCAAATTCATGCAAAGTCAATAAAAGCAGGAAAATTTCCATATTAATTAAATATTTCAAAGAATTATTTGACCTTGTCAAAAATCTATCACTACAAGCTCTTAAAATTAGGCTTTTTTATGTTATAATAAAGCCATTATACACAAAATCCACACAATTTCTAATGGAATCCACAAATTCCAGTGTAAATGAAAGACGGTAACATATAAGCCAAATTTGATTTTATTCTGAAAATGTTTCCAGTAATGGTCTGTGCAGAAATTTGAGGTCAGTTATGAAAAGAATTTAATTTCCTTCTGCTGTTAAATGTATTATATTTTTATATAATTGACATGCAGGCCTATTGACCAGCACAGCAACCTTGAAGAGTTTTATAATGCCAAATACCCAAAATATGCAGTCTGCTTGGATTGAGATGAAGTCAGACATCAAGGTAAAATAATTCAATGGCACCAAAGAAATTCAAAAACTAAAATCTGTTGGTCGTTGCTCTGTAATTCCTGGGATTTGCTTTAGATCAGTGATCGTGAATGGGTAACAAATTCCTGGAAACAAAGATGGTTGGATGGATAGATCTAAAGGCTGATTTATACTTTGCGAAGAATCTACGGGGAGCCTCCCCAGGAATGTAACTACAGGCGTCAGGCCACGACGTAGACTTTATGCAGGCGTGAATCAGTCTTCATTTTGCTGGTCATATCAAACTAACATGGATGGGCTACATTTGCAATTTCCTCCAGGTACGCCGGTTTCCCTCCTCAGTCAAAAAACATACTGAGGTTAATTGGAGTTACCAAAATGGCCACAGGTGTGCCTGTGAGTGAATGGTGTGTGCGTGTGCCCTGCGATGGGTTGGCGCCCCACCCTGGGTTGTTCCCTGTCTTGCGCCCGTAGCCTCCGGGATAGGCTCCATCCTTAACCCACCCCGCACGACCCCGCATATTACAAGCGGTTCTGGAAAACGGTTGGTTGCCTACATTTGATTAAATTATATTCAATGTTCCACCAAAGTGTTTTTTCCCCCCTGTTATTTTGTGAAAATTGTTGGGTAGTTAATCTCCATCTACTTTAAATCATAAATTGTAGTTCTAGAGTTAAAATAAATTCATAAATAATAAACCATGATTTTATTCTCGAATTACAACTTTATTCTTCAAAGTTACAACTTTATTGTCGAGGTTTTATATTTTTATTAATAGTGGCCCAACTCCGTCGTAGGCCTACGTCCGAAGTGCAATTATCAGTCTACAGCTGTTTTATTATTAAGCCAACTATTCTGTAAACGTGAAAGAAATGTCTGTTTAACAGATGTTTACGTTATTCAGTTAAAGGTCAATAATGCAAGACACTGCCTAAAGCTGATATTAAACATGATTTCTAAATATTTTTGATATAACGATCGCAATTTATTTGTCACATTGTCCTATTTGATCAAAGCTGGAATTACTAAGAAATGGGAAGACATACTACAATTAATTCATTTCGTGTAAATTCATAATTACCAGGTGATTCAGTATACTATACAAGTACACATTTTAGACGATTTGCTTAAACTATATGATAAAGCTTACGAAAAACATTCGCCTTGCATTAATGAATCATACTGCCTGCCACAAACCTTTATTCACACAGGTCGCCAGGAACTGTCTTTATTTAAATTAATGCATATAAAACCTGCAAACTGAAATCACAGTGAGCAAAAGGTCGGTCAAAGCCAGTAGTGAACGAGGGGAGAGAAGAAACGAGGATTTCTGTAACTGACTGTAGCAATCAATTGTGAATGCCCACTACCTTCGGACCAACCGAAAACAACGTGGCCCACAGGCATATATAACTCCCGTAGATAAACAGCTTGTTCCCATCATGGGTAGCCAAGTATTACTTAGTATAAAGGTAGAACATTTCAACACTTGCACTCCGGCTTACCCGATTATCACCTTCAAAACAGTTTTATTGTGATAATGTTTTTTATTTTTCATCGCTAATACTAAAGTTAGCGCATTCAAGGAGCGAGATGCATTATGGGAACTGCTCGCGATTTAGATGTGCCGGGGATGATAAGCAGCGTGGCACTTGACAATAAAACTACAAAAGCACAGTTCGTCCTATTGACATTTTAAAAATGTATAAAATATACCAAGTGTAGGAAGATTTTTTTTTATTTTATAAAAGCAGACGTCTTTTTTCCCCCACATAGCATTGGCATTTGCTAAGATTTCAAACAGTTGGATAGATTAAAAGACTAGTCAAATTACGTAGTGAGTGGGAAGGGGGAAACAAACAGGGAGTTAAGTTAACTGACTGAGAAATAGCAATTGCATGAACCCACTACAATCGGACCAGCCAAGAAAGAAAGCATCATTACTGTGTATATATATCCCCATAAATGTCTTATATTATTTAATTACGGTGTATAAAAATACAACGAAAGAAAACTAACAAAATTTTTGTCTTCGTATGAATTTAAAAAACCTCGGAATTAACAGAACTTCTCACAACGGTTTTTGGAAAATAATTGTACTATTTTTTATATCAAATATGTTTACTGGTGCATGATGGGATATCACAAATACAGCCAATCGCAGGGTGTCGATTTAACATCGCTTACATTATTTTAACAAACGGTTACAAAAGAAACAGATACGGAACCAAAGCAATGATTAGACGAATTCAGTATTTCAATAAATAATCGTTTATTTTGCATACGCTATATTGGGTTATCAAAATAAATCAACGCGTTAAAGCAATTGATTACATAATCAAATGTAATTCTGAACAATTTTCTAGGTAATCCTTATGAAGATAAAAGTCCAGCACTGAGTTAATCGACGCAAAAGCTTATAATTTAACGTTTTCGACTATTAATCATAACTCGTAAATGCAATACTACCAGTTACCACGAAGTGGAGCTAGTTATACATTCGTGATAAAGTTTTTTAAGAAAATCGAGTACATTTCTAAAGTAACAGTAAAACTTATTTTTTCGGAAAATTTCTGAAATAAATTTCATAAAAATTGGTATAAAATAAACAAAAAATCCACCTTTTTCTTTTTTTTTATTAAAAAATGCAATTCTGTCTTCCATTAGGCCTATATTTCCGTAACAAGGGTAGTAATAGATTTTTCACATTAAACACCGAAAATAATGTGCAATAACACGTAAACAAATTAAATGAATTCATCAAGTGGGCTACACTTAAAAGTATCACATTTGTTATATTAAGATATATTGGCGTTTTATGGAATCAGGGTGTTTATCAGTGGCATTTTTATGAGCACGATCGGAAGCGGGTCGCAATTTCCGCGTGTATCTATATGTTGCTATTTTAATTATTTTGTGTTTTTGAACATCGTGACATTTTTCACATTACGGTAAATTCGATATTTATATTTTACCATGATTTCAAAACTTAGGACGCAAAATGAACGAACAAAAACGGCCAGTGAGTACAATATCGCATGACATACACAGGTTCAAGTCCTAGGGCCCACCTGCTGTTTTCAAGGCCAACGCATGGTATTGAAAACCAGCCCGTGACAGCAAGCGTGTACATAGTTTACAACTGTCGACTATTTTCGCATGTAATGACTTTCATGTTTCACTGATAAAGTGAGAGTATATTAAGAGAGTAGATTAAGGAATAACAGCTATATTTCATCATGTTTGTCAATGAATGAAGTTGTTCAAAAATGTAAAACTTCTCCGAGTTGTGAACTGTATGACAGAGTGAACTATTACATCGTAGCTATTTAACAACCACTTCGATTATATCAGTCGTTTGCGTTTCGGAAACCTGTGGATTAGACAGACACCTTGATTTCAACAAGACCACATCGTGACAAGCAAAATTTGTTTTACCTCTGACTCAGATTGTACGATATTCACCGTTAACGCAGGACACGGACTACCTGCTTCTAGTCAAATATTACACATACTGGCGATTTCACATAGCATCGCCGAACCTAACTGTGTAACTTAGTCATTACTGCCCTGCATTTACATCAATATCTTACCTGGATGGGTACTATTCAAATAAACGTGAACAACTAATTTGCGGAAATGGCAAGCGAGCACATTCTCTTACGCCCGTTACTTCTATAATCTTAAGTCACATCAAATAGGAACAAAGACAAAATTCTCCACATGTCCCCCTCCGGGGCGCGCAGCTGCGTATGATTGGATAACTAGAAACGCACTCAAACCAATTATACATCGTGTAGCTGCGACACGGGAATGACGAGCTCTACGATTGGATGATGCGTTTGGCGCTCGTTAGGGCTGCAGTCCCCCCCCCCTAAGTGCAAGGCGGATATTGAGTGAGGAAAAGGGTAGAGCGAGTCAAGTGTGTAGTCGGAGCGGAAACGTTCAGGTCGGGTGCCGCTTAAAGCGACACGGACAGCGGCTTAATCTGGAGATTTAGGACTTATGTGAAAATAAAACACGAAATATATATCATTGTCCGCTCATTTAAAAAGCAGCGGTGACAGTAGAAGCGCCCTTGCGGTGCCATTACCAGTTCGCCGGTATCGCAGTCGAGGGACGCTCGGGACGCTCGGGACATCGACAGCAGTCTGCCGCCCTCCCCTTGCTCGCCCTAAACTGTCGATTGGGTGTTGGTGCCGCTTTGGTCCAGTTGATGTGGACTTGAGGTTCTCCATCACAGGTAGGGAATTCCGCCTCCTCAGTTGGCGCGTCCCGTTTCTGTTGAAATAGTCGAAGTTGTTTCAGTGTGACTTGTTAGCCTGGTCACCTGGAAGGTCAATTATTAGTTATCGCAAATTCACCTGGTAAGATGAGCCACCTGTAGGGGGGCTGGTTTATTCTTTCCTTAAGTTCCGTTCACTTTTGTGTAGTTCTCCACTGGTGATGATCAGGCTCCAGGAACTGGTACTGACTGACTTTATCTAGTCATCTTTTCGTTTTTAATCGAATGCCGAGACACGTGTTCTGATGGCTTATTATTTCCAACTTTTATACAACTTAATTGCTCAGTGTTTGACAGGGGCTGTATTTTGGCGGAAATGTTGAAAATTGTCTCAGTGAATTCGTCTCAATTTATAAGAAATTGTGAATTAAAATTGTGTGGCTGTAGCATTGTCGGAATCGGCTCGATTACCCGGTATTTGGCTAGTCGATCATTTTTTAATCTTCCGACAGTACGGTGTCTGCAGCTGTCACGTCTCTATACCAGTTAAACGACAGCTTATTTATAAGCAAACGAAGGGGGATTCGGCGGATTGGTTGACACGTTTTACATTAAAACGGACCATTCAGCTCCTAAGATAATTGACACAGTTTTGTGCGATCCAGTATAATGTGATTCTGTTCTTGTATTAACCGTGCATGTGTACAAAATACTTAACTATATTTGCTTAAAGTCGGTAAATTGCAATTTGTACATGAAACAAACTGGAAGTATTTGAAATATCTGCTATCTGTATTTTCCCGTTTATAAATTGAGCCTAAATCGCCATACGTATATGACGACATTTGTCATATACATGAAAGTCTTTGCCGACAGAATTTGAAGACTTTTTCCACTGTATTTTGCAACAGCAAATTCCAGTACATGTTTCTTAGACGGCATGGCACCTTGACGTTTTCTGTTGCTTCGTTTTTAAAGAATTTTCCAGTGACTTTTAACTGCATAAGTTTATACAATTTATAATTCGCTGAAAATTAAATTTTATGTGTACTCATTACCCCTAAGAGCCAACTAATGTTTTAGAACAGGAACACACAAGCGGAAAATATTAATTTTGTACATATGAAAAAAGAACTCCGATTGTGTTCAGTATTTCAGCCTTGTTGTACTTGCATTCTAAATCACATTTAATATTGTTTTCAAATAAATATTCAATTAGTTTTGGATATGAATGATTTTGAATACAAATGAGCATAATAAAGGAGTATTAAAATGTATTTCCTTCATGTCCAAAATGCTTTTTTCATTTTCAAATGGTGCCATCTGTGCTGAGCAGCTTTATAGGACATGGCATGATGGCTCTGATTAATCCCAGGACATCATCCAAGAACCCAAATATCAAATCTATACTACTAGATAGCCACACCAATAGAGCTGCTAACTGCTAATTAGATCTGTCAGTTTGTGGTATACATTTAGATTTAAAGCCAGTAATCTATCCAGGGTAGATGCTTCCACTGTATGCTGCAATGAACATTATTTCCAGTAACACATGTTGTTGGTCTTTTAGCTGGCTGCTGGTCATGAGAGCCATCTTTTCCCTGCTCTTGACATGCCTGCTTAGCTTGCTAAAATCCTGCAGTGGAAAAGCTCGTGGCTGTTTCAGAACTTTGGCTTCTTGCAAAAAGTAATTTTTGCAGTGTAATGGGTGATGATTTTTCTTTGTTGTGTGTTAAAATCTGCTAGAGTTGCATTGCTCTTTTGATGGTTGTAAGCTTATTTGTAAAATTCTGCAAAAATCTTTTCAATAATAAACAGTTTTAATAATTTTTGATTCTCAATATCCCACCAATCCTGCAACTTCACTATGTATTTCTTTTTATTTATTTATTTGTATTTCTGGGCCTCTCACTCCATATTGTGGGTCCATGACCTGCCTGAGAGTATTTCCGGTACGAAAGCTGTGAAGGAATGTAATGATGCTCATTAGGTAGAAATGTCCTTTGATTTGTTGCAGATTAATGAGCGTGTCACTGGAAAATTAAAGATCTGATAACCTGAAGAAGGTCTTCTGGTAGCCAGTTGGATCAGATGCTCCACATTTTGGCCTCTGCATAACATGAGCTGCCTGGTCAGTGTCCTTGCCTGCCTGCCATGTAAATGTCTTTACAAGGAACTTCAAAACGGGGAGATTGCATTTCATAATGCTGTTTACACCTCTAATTTTTTTAAAGTCTATTAATGATTATGGCTTCGTCTGATTTGGCATCTGGCATTAGGTTTGTGCAGACAGTTAATTGGTGGGTTTTGCTAGAGATGTGTGTACACATTTTCTGAATACTTTTTCCAGCTGCTCCAAAGCACCAGCATTCCTTAATATTCGTGTTAAAGTATGTTGTTTGTAAAGTGCACAAATATATGGCATGGTGCAGAGGTTATCACTGTTACCTCAAACCGATGGTGCCAGGGCTTAAGTATCTGCCATGGCTCCATGT